CTGGACTATAGAGTGATGGAACAGCAAAAGCAGGTTCATGTCCTTGAAACCTATACTTACCGTGTAGATGATCTGCTAACTGATCATCGGCTTGTCATTGGTCATATGTGCCTGACATTCTTCCACCTAGGACCCCATTCAAACCCAAAGTAATCTGGTCTCATCCAGCTGATGAAAGTTGCAAGCGTGAAATTAAAATCGAATGTGTAAATAACTAGAAAAACCGTCACAACATATTCTTAGGTTTTTTTCGGTAAAGTCACGTAGGTAAAAACATTAAAAAGTAAAATAAAATAAAAATCACTACGTTTCGGAGGCACCACAAGTTTCCGTCTTCAGGTGGTACCGTCACAGCCACGACAGCTGTATTAAGTAAATGAGAGATTGCAGGAGCTACCACTCCGTTTATATAATGGTTGGAGAAGGTGGTGGGGCAAGGGCTGCATACTTTTTTTATATGGTGCGGTTTGTGACTCAACCCGTGACAGGGAGACCACCACTAAACATGGTAAAACAGAAATGGTTATCTGTCAAATAAGATTGGCAAATAAGTGTAGTTAAATCTTTTTTGCATGGTTAATCACATCTTTCCAATGATTACTCAGTTTGTAACCGTCATCACGGTTGAAATTATGTCTGTGTTTGTATATTTGTATAGCTTCGTGTACAAACCTTTGATGGTAGCCAGGTTTGCAGAGAACCTTGGTCTCGGAAAATACAATTTCATGAGAGCCCACCGAGTTGTAGCAATGATCGGCAACGGCCGAAGAATTAGTTCTGCCGTGTTTCAGATCTGACTTGTGCTCGCGGACATGATCAGAAACATGACGTTTCATTTCTCCAATGTAGCAATCACCACAAATGCAACTCAATTTGTAGACTCCAGGATACTGTAAGTCAGGAACGACATCCTTCACAGATGGAATCAAATTACGGATTTTATGCACTGTACTGAATCGGACTTTGATCTTATGTTTGTTTAGAATTTTGGAGATATTTTTGGTCACGCCTGCTATGTATGGCAACATGATAGTTTTGGTCGGAGTTTCATGTGGCTGTTTCTGTATGGTGGGAGAAACAGCTTGGCGGATAGTGCGGTCAGAGTATCCGTTCATCCTGAGGGCCCGATGTACATGTCTTAATTCACCGGCCAGGTGGTGTTGGTCAGAAATGCCATGGGCTCTGAGGTATAGCGTTTTGATGAGAGAATTCTTTTGAGATGGGTGGTGGTGGGAATCCGGTTTCAAGTAGGAATCTGTGTGGGTGGCTTTCCTGTAGACAGAATGTCCCAAGGATCCGTCAGGCCTCCTCTCAAACAGAATATCCAAGAATGGTAGTTTACTGTCTTTCTCCACTTCCATGGTGAATCTGATGGATGGGTGTCTAGAATTGATGTGGTCCAAGAAGTGGTTCAATGCTGGGAGGCCATGTGGCCAGATGACGAAAGTGTCGTCCACATACCTCTTCCACAAGGACGCAGGGTGGATGTCTGGATGGCGTCTGATTCAAACTTTTCCATGAACATGTTGGCTATAACTGGTGACAAGGGGGAGCCCATAGGGGTACCCTCATTCTGTTTGTAGAAGGTGCCATTCCAGGTAAAATAAGTGTTGGTGAGGCAATACCTAACCAGCGCAGGTACATCAGAATTCAATCCATGTTGGACTAAGTCCTGAATTATTGTTAGGGTGTCCGGTACTGGGACTTTGGTGAACAAAGATATTACATCAAAGCTGACGAGGATGTCATCAGGAGATAGTACCATGTCCTTAACCATAGAGACTAATTGGGTTGAGTTGAGTACTGCCGAAGAGGTCTTGCCTGTGAAGGGGAGCAGAGTATCTGATAGAAAACGGGCTAGTTTGTACGTAGGAGAGTTTATCGTCGACACGATGGGTCGTAGCGGGGTGCCTTCTTTATGGATTTTGGGAAGACCATAGAGTCTGGGAGGTCTCGCCGCCGATGGTTTTAGAGAGGGACGTTTGCTTGGTTCGATTAGGGAAGTCGAACTCGTGATGATACTGTTGGTTTTTGTCGTTAGGTTTTTAGTGGGATCGTTTTTAATTTTGGAGTAACTCCCATCATTACGAAGGTCCAGGATTTTGTTGTTGTATGAATCTTTATCCATGATGACCGTGGCATTGCCTTTGTCTGCCGAGAGGATGACTATATCATCTCTCTTTTTTTTTAGGTCCGCGAGTTCAGAGCGTTCGTTTTTGCTGATGTTACTAGTGCGGTGATGCCTTACCATCAGTCCCACTACATACTTTTGGTGGGGATGAGTCCGTCCATAGGATAACCACAGTTGGCTGCCCCACAAAGTGGTACTATTTTAATGATCCCGGATGAATGAAAGGGCTGTCAATTCACCAACAAGGATTTGAATTTGCAACCTACCGAATGCGAGCCGTTGACTCTATCACTAAGCCACCTGTCCAGACTGTTTATCCATATATGCATGAACATAAACATAACGCAAAACAATTGTAAGACAGCTGTAGTTGCTCAATGACGCTTAGCACCAATACTGAACAAAAATATACAAAAGCGTTTGGTAGCAGTAGCGAAGAAAAGTTATATATCATAATTAACCAAACCGTAATGACTTTATACAGCAGTTGATAGAGCATGTACAAGATCTGCTTTCTAACGTGCGTAAGTTGGGCACGGCGTGGATGAATAGGGCGATGCTTCTGTGTGCGCTTTTTGTGGCACCAAACGGCACAATCTCTTTGTAAATCAAAGCGGTTGTCTTTACAGCGCACACACTTGGCTCAGTCCTGCACACTACACAGACGCATGCCCCCTTTGCCCGGGCCTCCTAATGCTTGCTGCCTGATTACACGATGCTATGGAAACAGAAATGTTAATGTGCTGACTTCAGTGGCACATTCGTAAAATGGGCAACGAGATTGCTGAAACACTCTCACTCACCCACTAATTCACTCGTCCACTCACTCACACTCTTTTATAGTGACTACTATGGTCACTGTTCCCTTGAACTTCACTCATTGATTCCTCTACCCATGTTGAGGACTCACCGTCCACGCTGTGTTCAACCACCACACTGCAGGTCACAACACTTCTCTTTCTCCGCTTTCGAATTCCCTCCCATCGTCTCTTTTCCCAAGCACTTATATACTAACCTTGCTCAATTAAAGAAAGGCTTTAACTCTGTATCGATTCTAGCTTTCAGTGCTGTTTTTTGCTGACCGCTTGGCATTTTGGGCCTGTGCTCAGTAACCGTATTTGAAAAAAAATCATATAATTTCATTTCATATTTAGGTTTCCAAAAGCAATATTTGGGCTGTAGCGCTCATGCAGTAAGCGTAGGGAACACTGAATTGCGATCATGTAAGTGAATCACATGAGACCACAATGCTGTTTAAAATTGATCAGACGTAATTATACTTTGTGATGTATACATGCTTGTATTTTTTTACACGGAGGGACAGATATGTAATGGAGGCATATTGTCTGTTATTCTATGCAATGGTTTTGCCTTGTCCAAGTTCTCAGCCACACTCAAATGTGGTACCGCACCAGTGTGCACACCATCAGACTATCAAAGTGTTAATGCTGCGCGAGATTCCGAGCGACACGAACAAATTCACACCTGCTCACTCGTGGATTTGGTGGGGATGTGGCATATGGATAGGTAGCCTGTGTCCACCATGGAAAACACGTCACTGTGCTACCTTTGTTGTACATGCCAGGAACATAATGACATCATGGTCTTGTTTTGTATGGAGCTAGCACTAGGTAGCAGGGAACACTCGTGGAAAATTCCTGGCAGAGAGAGTTGGGTGTCGCCGTGTACACGCACGGCAGAGTAACGGTCTTGCAGCAAGAAGGGAAAAGTAACAATGCGGGCCTTGTGATGGTGAGTGAATGGGGGAGGTCTGTGACATCATTCACGAGTTTTTAATGTCTGGGTTTGGGGGGGGGTCCCACTAAGTCATTTACTCATACTGTTTTAACTTTTATGTAGGGAGATAGATATGGGAAGGAGGCGTATTGTCAGCTGATAAATTTCGATTTAAAGCTTTCGTGACTGCAAGGATTCATCTTCTTGGTTCTTTCGGTAAAGTCACGTAGAAGGGAAAAAAAACATAATAAAATAAAATAATTCTCACGACGTTTCGGCCACAACGCAAGCAGCCGTCCTCAGGTGAAGAACAGGTCTGTCGGGAAGACAGCGTCTGAATGAAACACCCCAGGCTTGGAGCGTATATTTAAGCTGGGTTGGAGGGGGAAGAGCGCCTTGACAAAATAATTTGCATATCAAGAGGAATTTAGCATATTTATGGGAAATGCAGATATGGGATTAGTCACTACAGTACTTGTGAAATGCGTAGGTGGGCGGGGGGTTTCAAAGTCATATTATGCCCGTGCATTATGCAGGATTAGCAGCATCAAAGGGAGGGGATAGGGGTAGCATTAATAAAGGGAAGGAATGTTAATAGTATGTAGCTGCAGTAACTAAACCCCCACGTAAAAAACAAAAGTATAAACTACATAGTATCATCAGTATACTAAATATACTCTCCAATAAGCTGAGCTACTAACAGTAAGTAATACATTACAATTCTATGTCGCAAAAAATATAATATGCTTCCAGCTAAACTTTTTTCTCTTACATCACACGGGTCTACCCCGTACTATTATTTCCCCTCTACGTGACTTTACCGAAAGAACCAAGATGTCAGCTGATAGTTATGGAAATCACTTTAAAAAATATACAAGTTTGAGTGTAAAGGTGAGGGAATCTGAGGCAAGGCATGTTTTGGAGTGGTCTCCACGAACCTGGCACACCATGGGAAGCCCTAATAGCAGATGGTGGTGGGATGCTGTGAGGGCAGACCTTCGAGGTCGTGTGTCTACCCTGCAGTAGCTGTGGGATCTGGCGGAGGGGAGAAAGTGCTTGTCGTGAGGTGTGGAGGCATCAACGGCATTGTCCACGCTGAGTTCTTGATGTTACTTATCAACTAAATCGGATCTTAAGAGATTATTTTTTATTTCATAAAATATTGTATAATTATTTAGCATTTTGTTAAATCCTTCATAATCACTTTGATGAAAATACATTAAATCGTCACAGTCATATATGTAACTCAACATTTTTAAATATAATCACAGTAAAGATTGCTACATAGACAACTAGTGCTCTTTCTAGAGAATATCGAAGGCTGACACAAGGGCACTGGGTACAGAAAATGCTTATAAAATATGGCAGACTGTAATTTCCGTCAGTTCCAAAAGAGTAAGAGATAACGTATGAAATTTCACTAACAGGCACGCACAACCGCACGGCAGCCCGAGTACATTTGCCCACGTTTCTTATTTGAAAGGTAATGATGCAATCCTGCAATTGCTGGCTCACGTTACTGCTGGTGGAAGAGCCTCCACTAGAGGGAGCTTCAAGATGTATTGTCTTCTCTTCCACACTGAACAGGCATCTTGGAAGAGGTGGCAGTACCCACACTTGATCCCACTGCACGTGACCTGCTGAGTGACTGTAGCATACCCATTTATGCTGCTGGGTGGACAGAACTGGGGGGCATTGAAAAAAGTTCGCCGTTGTTTAAACTGCCACACTGGGAGAGGGGATAGACCTGTGACCTCTGGAACGCGAGTCTAGTGTGCGCTGACCATTACCCCACAACAGCTCCCTCCATTTCTCAATGAAAAAACATGAATAAATGTTATTCCTATTGATAAACATTTCTAAGTGTGTGGAAAACTGGCAACACGTCTTAATATATTTTTTCATTCGGTTTCCGGGAATGCAAAAAAAAGGTTTTAGCAGCCTTTGTCTGTACCCAGGCCTCCAATCAAACGGAGTCACTGCTCAGGCCAGGCGAGCCATGTTTGCGGGTTTGTACGCAGGATGCAGTCGAGTGCGTGCTGAGACATCCCACGCCGCAGCATCTTTGGTGCGATTTTCGTGAGGATGTGCTCAAACCCATGTCCACCAAACGTGGTGAGGCGGTGTTTGGTGTGAATGTCGTGTGACACAAGTAGGCGTTTCTCCAGCCCCTCCGCCAACAGGAACTCAATCCTACAGACACGACGCACATCACAGAGTAGGGACGTCATTATTATCTTGCGTGATGTATTACTGTATTCTATAGTTTTGGGTAGAGCTAGGACCAATAGTAACACGATTTTTGTTCCTGGGTAGTAAGTGTTATTTTCGAATTGTTTATGCCTCAAAAGTATAGAAAATGGCTATTATTCCCCACAAACTTTGCTTACTGGGAGTGCATACTTTCAGCAGCATTCTTTAACACAAGCAAACCGTTGGACTCATATCTCACACAGAAGGTCATATCCTATAAACTTCTGGCAGTTCACTAGTATTGATTAAAGAAAGCCTGACTGCTGATAAGACAATGAATGCCAAAACCAGTCCAGAGTTTGCTTGTGCTGATCTAGTGTGTCTTCATGTATGCGCTATCACAGAGGGCAGGTTGATTGGCCAATGAGATGTGTAACAAAAATACAGTAGACTCTCGATTTTCCATGCTAATAACGTGGAGGACGGCCACAGATAGTAAAAAATCGCGGATAATCCAAAAATATATATTTTCCGTAGATCTCTATGTATAAATACATTAATCACTCAAAATGAAGCACAACTGACGATTTCAATGGTTACTCTTTCTATTTAGAACAAATACTAACTTTTCTGCTCCCGCGCAGAAGACTCGGCCCAAGAAGTGGATAGCAGAGCCACGCCAATCAACATCAAACTCCGCCCACTGTTCAGTGTTGTAAATATATGCAACTACTGTACTACAGAGGCGATCATGTGCATTTATAATTAACCGGAGCACATATTTGTTCGGTTTAAGCATGTGACTTGTAATAAACACCTCCAAGAATAACAATGTATAACTGTTTTTAGATTATTAATTTGGGCTTAAGGAGAAATCCATGAGTTATTAATTTATGTCAAAATGCAAGTGTGGGATTAATACGTAAATCGGATAAACCACATGCAGATACTCGAGAGCCTACTGTACATAAATGTTTTCACGTTGAGGGAAACAAGAGGTGTATAGTCTGCTTACTTTGTTATTTATAAAGACATTAAATGCAAGCATCCAAGTGCAATATTATTTCATACAGTGGTGTTGTGTGCGTGCATATGCATTACTGGTTGTGTATTCTCTAACCAGTGTATTCGTTCATTGTCGCTGGGCATGTCGATATCGAGGTTGAGCTGGTAATCGAGAACCTCTGTGCCAAACAGGTCAAACTCCAGGTAGGTTCCGAGTGTTGCAAACTCGAGCAGAGCCTCTCGCTCCAACAAGGTCCTGTGTATTTGTGCATAAACATAATAACAATACAAGATTGATCAGAATCTTTATTTATCCAGGAGAAATACGATGAGCTATGAAGCTCGTTTACACAGATGTCCAGTAGGGGCGCATCAGAAAGTTACAACAACAAACAATTCAAAAAACGATAGGAGTGCAAACTATAGGAAAGGTAAGCAAATACAAAAATATGCAAAATAGAACAAGTATATCCAGTTTTCCCTCGTCATTTGCGAAGAATACGTTCCAGAGATGCTCGTGAAAACCAAATTTCGTGGATAATGATATTGGCCTTAAATACATAAATAAGCTATTAAATACATTAAAATGATCAGAACACAAGAACATACACATCGGTTATAATGTAAATAAAAACTAATATTAAAGTATTAAATAATAGTTTATAAATTAACTTACCTTAAATTATGATGGTGCACAGTAGTAGAACCATAATTTTATTTCATCAATTAATCTCATCGCTTAACCTCATCACTTTCTCACATCACATTCTTTCTCGTCACTTTATCTCATTACTTTCTTTCTCCCTCGATGCAGTCATGTAGAGTTCCAGATGCAATTCGTGAATCGCCGAAATCACAGATAGCAAGTGGGAATACTGTAAGTTTAATGTGCATATGATGATTCAACATCGACTCACTCCAGTCACTCACTCGTAAGAGGCCAGTCACCACCTTATCACTCATCTATCACTACAACCATGGTTACTGTCTCCGTAAACTTTACTTCTTGAATTCTCCACCCGTGTTGAGGACTCGGACTACCAGGCTGACTGCTTAGTGTCATTGGACGGTTTCATCTCATCGTAATCGGAAGGTTGTGAGTTCATCCAGCCCATCGCTCCTCCAGGGCTGTTAAAACGAGTACCGTTTTGTGGGGAAGTCATCAGTGGTTGTCCTATGAATAGACTCGCCCCTGGTACAGGAATGGGGAATTAACAAGGTGTGGCATTGTAATTGCTTTCTCATGCCACTGCTGGCAGAAAGGGGTCTCCACTAGAACTCGTGGGTATATTTTATCTCCTCTTCCACATTGACCAGGCGTGTTGGAAGAGATGGTCGTACCCACACTTTACTCCACCACATATGACTGGCCGTTTGACTGCGGTGTACCCATTTATACCGCTGGGTGGTGGAAAGAGAGAGTGGGGAGGATTTAAAAAAACTTGCACCATTGATTTTACTGTGCCGAATGATGGAATAGACTGGATTTAATGTCGGGCGTGCTGCTAGCTATTTCACCATGGCAGCGTCCCTATATTGAACTAGGACGTGAATATCCGTGAATTATATTTGCCATCGTACCTGTCGAGATGAGACATAACGATCTTCGGAGCTTTCCCGCCGGCTTCAAGTAAGACGCGGGTGATGTCTGCCGGGGAGGAGATGTGACGCCCAGGGTGCACAATGACTGGGCACCCGACATCGGCCTGCAGGGTGCCAGCTGCTTGCAATACGCGTCGCTCCGTCTCATCCAGAGGCCACGAGCAGCCCAGCTCTCCAATAACACCACAGCGCACCGCGGTGCCATCTACTCCGTCCAGCAGGTCGCCACGCATCACACCAGCCAACTGTAGCCACAGGGGATTCACAAGAGTTAGTTGGCTAGACATTCACTGTTACTTTGCATCACACAATATGGTTGAGTATAGAGTCATAATAATTGATTACTGGGTTAGGACATGTAATGATTTTTCACAATTTCTGTCAAAAGATCCTCCACTACCCCAGACAGCCAAACATATAAAATTGTAATGTGTACAAGTATTTAACATGCCAATTGTTTCAGCTCGCTAGTGAGATGAAGAACAAACTCACATACAAATGTATCGTTTAGATACAACCTGCTTGAGTATTGACTGAATTTAAGTCAAGCATGTATGACTCTGCTGATAAGGCACTAAATGTTTGAACTGGTCCAGAGTTAGCTTGTAATGAACTAATGCTGCTGAAGAAATGCACTCCCAGAAGGCCGTGTGACCAATGGGCACAGAATGGCCTACTCTTCTTTGAATTACATCATGAGATCTTTAACGTCCACTATGAGTGAAGCAGATGGTGCCTAGAATTGTACGAACACCATGGCAACATCAGGTCAGGTGGCTCAGTGGTCAAGTAAGCAACCTGCAATCAGAAGGTTTTCGGTGAAAATACCAGTTGTGGTTTTACTTAATCAATCATCCCTCCTTTGGGTCAATTCCTTTAAACTAAAACTAAACTACGTTTTATTTTACCATGTAAGGCCCACTGAGCTATATAGCTGTTTTTCAGAAGCAACTTGGCCACAACTGATATCTCAACGAAGTGGCTTATCACTTGGAAATGTATAGCAGCCATTTAGTCTAAACGCATCTTGATTCCAAATGTGGAGGGAAAAACCGAAGAAACTGGAGAAAAATCCACGCGACCATGGGAAGAACATGCAAACTCCAAATATCCAGGCGTCAAGGTCAGGATCAAACCCACGCCCTCCTGTATACCAGGCGAGGTAGTTAAAATCTCGTCACCGTAATTAGGGTGGCCTGCCAGATTCGAACCGTGATCGTCTGAAACAAGAGGTGTACGCGATGCCACTCGCCCACGTCTGGTGCCTACCTGCTCAATGGTCATGGCTTGGGTTTCTGGGGTGTGGGTGCTGGCCACGTAGAACCCTGTCCCGACCACAACGTGCACGCCTGTCTGGCGCGACAGGCGCTGCAGTGCCCCCATGTCCCGGCACAACCCCGTGGTGCTGTTCTCCACCAGCGCGCCTCCTCCAGCCTCGCGGAACGCAAGCAGGTCCTGAAACATGTGAAACACAGCGAATAGGGTTGTCAAAATCGATTTTAATTTTACATTACCATTAAGGATAGATCAAAACCCTACCATCCTTGGTTTAAATCACTTTTGTACCTCATATTTCCTTTCACGTGTATGTGCAATTGATCGCTCTGCTTTGCAGACTTTTGAGTGATTTTTTTTACAATCTTACCGATCTCGGGGCTGTTTTGCACCAAATACTTTGTGTATGAGATGAGTCGAACTCGCCACGTCGTATTCTGTGTGCTGCTTGTACCGTGATGCCGATGCACGTGTTTTTGTGCTGTAGTAACGAGGATGCCATGGTATAACGAGATCCCCATCGAAAATGAGCGTTTATAGCCCAAGGGGTTTTAGCTCTGCCAACATAAAACCAAAGCAAATGAATGACAACCGGTGACCATTTTCCGACTCGATAACCGGTCCCACAAGACAAGTCTGAAGATGGGAACCGAATGTTAGGTCTGACCCTACAACATGCACGCAAATCCAAGTGCATCTGGCCTGCAATCGCTCGCTCAAGCCACTGCTGGCGCAAGCGCATCCTCTTTCGAGAGCGCTAAAGGGTGTTTGATCTGCTCTTCCACGATGACCAGGCGTCTTGGAGGAAGAGATGGACGTACTCACACTTTACCCCACCACGCCACACCAGCCCATCGACTAACGCTGCTGCTGCAGAGATTTGAGAAACTTTGCGCCGTTGTTTCAACTGGAATTGAACCGGGGCCCTCTGGGCTGTCCGGTGTTGCTGACCACGACCCCCCGACTGTGACGACATTCATTTCTCAGCCAAAACGGTGCATACGTTTTTTTAAAATTGCTATTGATGTCTTACTACACGTGCGGAAAACAGGTCAACGTTTTTGTTTTATTTGGTTATCGGTAAAGCAAAACAGCACACGGCGTTAGCCCGACCAGTGACGTGATGTATTATGTATCTAAACTGTTAACCGATGTTCCGCATACACGGACATGTAATACACAAACCGCGTGTACTCATCTGCACGACGGAGTTGGGAGTGCAGCAAGTAAGTTGCGGGCCTATCACTACAGAGACGTTCCGTGTCGGCCTCCCGTGGAGTTGTGGCCCCCCTCTCTCTCTCTGAGTGCTTTGCTTTTCACCCAAATCTAAATGTTCTACGCTCTGCGGAGAACTCCACGCCCCGCTGTACATTCTGACGACAAACGAGTCATTGGCTCGTTATTGAGACTCGGCGGAGCTGGTGGTGCTCGACTGTGCCGATAGTGGTGGTCTCGGTGCTGCTGGAGGCGGTGTGAAGGACGCATGCCTCTACCCGTCGCACGGCCTCCTCCTCCTCCTCGCCGAGGCGCAGGTTCCCCCTGTGGCTGTACGGGTGCTGCTGGATCCAGTGCAGGCCGCTCAGGTTGAACTCCATGGTGGCCCGGTGGCCATGGCCAGCGGGAGGCTCCACGAAGCAGCAGTCGAAGGTCATGCTCAGGTGCTCGTGGGGCAGTGTGACGCCCAGGGCCTTCACGGCCACGGGCCCCAGCACGGTCTGAACAAGCCCCGTGGGGTCGGCCATGACCTCAGACGAATCGGCGGAACTTCTTGCCTGGGCCTCGGGGCGAAGTCCACACGCGGTAAGGGGGGGGGGTACTCCTCTCGTGATTTATTTGTCAGGGACCACAGCGCCCTCTCATGGAGGGCAATCCCCATGCAGACATCCACGCGACGAGATAACTGCAGACAATGCTCGTCCCTCATGAACATATTTGTCCTTCCACATGCGAAATAAAAGTATTCTGTACGCGTCCCATGGGCCATAAGGCCAACTGCGAATGCATTCAAGCGACTCTGGACCTTCTTCTTGGTTCTTTCGGTAAAGTCACGTAGAATGGAAATAATAAAATAATTAAAATTAAACAGAAAATAATTCTAACGACATTCGCTGCTTGCAGTCAGACTTCCCGGAATCAATGCTGGCTGAATTGCCACTGTCTCAGTGAGGAATTGTTCTATTGTGACGCAGAATTATATAAGACAGCACAAATTAGCGTTGCTGTGGAGAATATGATTAACAATACAAATAAGACAACGAAAATATTCAATTATAGAGGTTCGGGTCGAACTAGGACCCATGTCTAACAGAGAGGTGCCCTTGCCCATAGTATCTAGCAGTTCACCAGAATGTGTGCCAGCAAGCTTGACTCCGCTCATAAGACGCTGAATGTCGAAACCAGTCCAGAGTTTGTATTGAACCAATTATCGCATCTGTGTGTTCGGAGCTTTGAGTTTGATCACCTCCAATGCGACGTGGATTTTCTCCAAACACTCACGATTGGAAGAGTCTTGAAAATCAGCGAGGATTCGCAAGGTAAAATAAAAAATTTCGAAATGTATACCACACATTATGGGAATCATGCCTATTATGTGTCCAATTATTATTTTAATTCATCTGTCAATTCAATACTCATGCAAGTGCCAGTCGTGGGGACTATTTGACCATACTTCACCACGCTGGTCAGTGCGGGTTGGTGAACACTTTTCTATGTTTTCTCCCCACTTGTAACTTGACAAATTAGTCCCTGGTAAGCAATCACCTATGCATTATAGCGCACGTCTGCATTACGCATACACATACACACATGTTTTAGTGCATGCACACATTATATAGGAGCGCTGCGGTGGTAAGATGTTAACTACCTCGCCTGGTATGCAGGAGGACGTGTGTTTGATCCCTATCCCTGACGCATATTCTTCCAGTGGTCGCATGGATTTTTTTCCGGGTCCTCCGGGTTACCCCTCCACATTTAAAATGTACACGCACTTAGAGTATGTGGCTGCTCTAAATCTCCACATGATAAGCCACTTCATTGAGATATCGTTTGCGGCCAGGTCGCTTCTGAAAAAGACCTACATAACTCGGTGGGTCTAATCTGGTAAATTTAAATAAGGAATCTTAATTTTGGAGCGTTCGTGACTGCTTTCGTGACTGCCGATACGTGTTCTCTCTCTGTGTATCTTTATGATGTATGTCTGCTTATATGTCTGTCTATAGTTTTCTGGTTAGATTTGTGTTGCTATTTCTTTTATACGTAGTATGCTATTATTTAATTTATTATTTTATCTTTATACGTGACTTTACCGAAAGAACCAAAGAATAAAATAAGGAATATATGTACATCATTACACTTAAAATACATATCACTTGGTGCTAGGGTTGCAACCTGTCTGGGAATTGGCATATGTGTTTAGCTGGCAGGAATTTATTTACACCAAGATCTGGTACCGAAATATTATATTGAACTGTATCGCAGTCGGCTGCTCAGTTTTGATAGACCGGGGCTGGCTGAGAAAATGGCTGGGTTTGTCTGTGGAAAAGACCAACTTCACAAAGTGATTGGCAGTTCGGAAGTGAGTAGCACTAATGATAGGAAAATAAAGTGCTTGTGCACTAGTTGAAACAACTGTGTGCTATGTGGCTTACACATTAGTGGATTGGAATACCTTGAGATTCAAGCGTGCAGCGTTGGCTGCACTCGTGTGCAGGTGGAACAGAAGTGCTCGTGTGACTACGCTGAAATTGAACCGAGCGTCTGTCCTTTTGCACATGTATAATTGAGAAGCCTGCCTCAGATACATGTCGGGTATCAGATTTAAATTTGCATATCTGGTTTAGTACAGTTTGTATGAGGCCTCACAAAACCACAACCTTGTCAAGTAAAACAATAATTCAGAATAATTTTGTTGAGCTAGGCCACGTAATGATCTGGTTTAAGACCCTCCACCACCCGACATTGCCAAACAAATGAAATAATCACGTGTGCAAAAAGCAATTAAAAGTCATGTTGACTGCAAACACTTACATGCTAAGTTATACAATAAAAATGTTTACATGTAGAACAGAGTGCTTTTAACATGTTTATGTAATTACAGGAATATAGCGTAATGTGTTAACAACCTACATCCATTAATAACACTGTTGCCTTCAAAGGAGAATATCTATATAATAAAACAGGTAACGTTTTGGGCAATGGCTCTTCCTCATAGCATATAGATCAGCTCCAGATACATTTATACATCAATACTATATGTTTTCCTTTTAAGGCTACGGTGTTGTTGACAAATGTGATAAATTGTTATTGTTTGTGCTTGAGCACCACTGCCAACGCAGTATCACCAAACAATGGGTGTAATCGTGAAATCAGCAACACAGTATGCTCTGAAAGTTTAAAGTGCGTTAATAATTAGTGAATGTAATTGTCTTCGTGGTGAGCTGGTGTCAGATGTCCTCAAGCAACGTGGCTTCCAAATGCTCGGTGAGGGCCGTGTAGGTTGTTCTTATATATTTCCTCAGCACAGGCTCAAAGATCAAAAACGTCCAGCGGCCAGCAGAAAACAGCACGATTAAAGTCGTAATAGATAAGAGTTAACAGGTTTTTAATTGCGCAAGGTTAGATTGGGAAAACAGACGATGAGAGGGAATTTCAAAGTGGAGCAGTCCGAAGGAAGAAGGAGAAGTCTAGAGACCTGCAGTGTCGTGGTTGAATTCAGGGTGGATGAGAAGAAGCAGTCAGTGTGGTAGACCGAGTCCTCAGCATGAATCAGTTAGTGAAGTTCACGAGAACAGTCACCGTGGTAGGAGCGGTAGAAGGAGGCAATGACCACCGGTGAGTGAGTATTTGGAGTGAACTAGTGAGTTTCTGGGTCATCACTCATCCTGACTTATTTATTCTGAATTCTATCCGGTGCAGTGCGGTCGGAACTCGGCGCTCCACCCAATATAATAACAGCGGCAGGATTCCTGCTTAGGCCGAATTCGTGTTTTGTATGTGAAGCGCCTCCAATTAGCACGGTTAGTTACGTATGGTGCGACAGAAATTTAACATACATACATACGAAGCGCTCTTTGATTCGCGCTGGTGTGGATGAAACACAAATGATTGTTATTTTATCGTTATTTATTTTTTTAAGGCAATTCTGAGAGTAAGTAGAATATACTCTGTCAGCATAATCCAGGACTGGGAGTAAATGCTGGACAAGCGCTACATGGTAGCAGCGTGAAAAAACGGTAAAAAAAATACCGGTTACCGGTTTGCTGTACCTGAAGAGGTGTCAAGCAATAAACATATTCTAATTGAGAAGCAAGGGAGTTGCTACAGCGGTGTAATCCAGAACCGGCGACAGCCGGTTCGATTCCATTTCGCAAACACTCCACCGTTCATGCAACGAGGAAAATATCGTGACAGACTGGGAATGGGTCATCTAACTCATGATGGTGGGGGTGATCGTGATTGGTGGTGATGTCAGACTTGTATTTAGGCACTCACACTCGCACACTCCACCCAGACACGGGTTGTGTTTAGCGCACGCAAGCAAGCAAACACATACACACACATGTGTCATTCAAGCCTGGAAGAATTATACGCGGAACCAGACGCAGAAGCAACGGACACAGAAGGGCACCAACGTGAGAGCGTTGGAATTGCAATTGAACCCTCTAGGCATTGCCGGAGTTTTGCATGTCCTCACCCAGGAATATGCCTCCCAACGTGACAGCACCACAGCCACAGGTGAGTCTGCAAGACACACGATGTGTTGCAGTACAGTATAATACATATTCTTTTCACATGAACATTTCCTGGAGATGGATTAACATCTGGTTTGCAATGATTTTCAGGGTTCCAATTGAAACATACATAGTAAACACGTAATGACACCACATATATACGCACACACATATTTAATCTATAACCTATTTATGAAGTTCGTGGTACGGCTTTATATTTTTTTTGGAAAAAGCGTGTTAAGACATTGGGAGTCAAGAAACGGTTCTCATTGGTGGAATCGAACCAGCGACCTCTAGAATGGAAAGTCAAGTCTGCTAACCATGACACCAGGGCAGGTCAAAATTCCCGTGACAAGAAATTTCTGTATGTGTGGCAAACCAGTAACCGGTTTATTCCTGGGGTTTGTCTCATTCAGTTAACGGTAATGTTTTTTTTCTGTGGATGTCAGACGAATGCCTTGCGATATGTTTAACCAATGCTGCTGAAATTATGCAGTCCCAGAAGGCCGCATGACCGATCTGGTGTGTATTTGTTATGTGGAGGATCACAGATTTGTGAATGGGGTGAATTTTTTGCTTATTTTATCGCTGGATTGAACTTTATTGTCAGAGAAAGTGATTTTAGTGAGCACCTATGCAGGTGGATATTGCATATGAGGGCTGGTGAAGTCATGACCTCTTCAATGGAGATGTTGACAGCACTGCGTAACCAGACTTTCATATTTGCATTAACGTATTATCTTCCAAGCGGACCACACGTTTTCAAGGAGTGGGGGTTACCCACACTTTACCCCACCACATGCAACCTGCCGATCATGGACTGTGGTGAACCCATTTATCCCGCTGTGTGGGGAGAGCTGTGAGGGGGTAGGTGGAGATTTGGGAAACTCGCCCCATTGTTTACAACGGCCGTGGCGGGAGATGGAACCTAACTGCCAACCTTTGCATTGCTAGTCGAGTGCGCTGTCCATTACCCTTCTGTTAAACACCTGAACGTGTTACATTGTTTTGTCTATACGTGCGGAAAACCGGTAACTGGATTTTACTGTTTACTTTTTCATGTGGATACCGATCATGCAAAAAGAACCTGCTTTTTAACAAAACACACTGTAGCAGTAGTGGCAGTCGGCACACAGTCTCTCCATTTCACTGGACACACACGGCCTACGTCCGGCGTTTGGCAGATGGCACAGGAAGAGTGGCATGGGTTTAAGCCGATTAGACTGCTTTTCCGGCTTTGGCAGAGCAAACATGCTTTCTCTAAACCATCACAACCCCCATCGCTCCTCATTCCCGAGCAAGCACGTTATGTTCTCACGTCCAATAAATTCGTTGTTGATTTATACATTGAATGCATTAATTTCTACGGTGCTGATGTTGTAAAGTAGCATACCAACGTGAGAGGAACGTTCACCGTCGATGGGTATTGGCTGCAGTGACACGGTTCAGAGAGGTGGATGGAAAATATTGAACAAAAAAGGAAAAATTCCACAAAGGATCATGGTGAGAGAACCGAGCTTGGCTGGAGATAAAAATCCGGGTTTGCTTTTCCAGGATGGAAAACCGCGTCCTTTGTCGCGTCAGTGTGAGCAATTATTTTCTTAAAGTTAGAGATAGCAGTGATTGTGCTCATATATGTTCCCCTTTCATAAAGCTGCGTCACCTATTGTACTATAAATAATAATTCCTAAGGCATGACAAAACGAGTTTGGTAGTTTTTTTTCATGGAGAGTTATGCATACCGACAGAGAGAACACTACACAGGGCCTTCTTACTGTGAGGCGAAAGTGTCACCAAACCACTGAGCCACGCACACCAATGCTAATGATTATTTTGTGTGTCAGAGGAGCGTGAATTCCCGTGCCAGGCCGTGCCGGGATGGCTCACAGTCCGGCAAGGAAGCCAGGCGACCAGGGGCTCGGGGAGAGAAGCAGGCACGCCTGCAGCTGCACGGCGCCAGGGTCAGCGCGATGCCACCTGCACGTGGCATCCCTCTCATTTGTGGCACATCATATCCATGACTGTATTCAACATATATCCGTGTCTGTTTAGATACTAGTACAAACATCACAATAACCCTATTTTTATAATACTGTAGCTTTTACTCAATTTTTTTGTTTTGTTTTAGTAACCCTAAAAAAGTAACGAGTAAAATGTGGTACTGGTATTGTTCATTACCATGTTCAGGTTTGCAAAAGTTTTCCAACCTGCTCTAATGTGCCTATGTATTATAAATATACACACCAGTGTCTGCCCCGAGCAGCTGTTGATTGCAGACAGACATTTATTTTTTTATAGAAACATGTTCATTATTTAATTTGTATCTCTTCTTGGTTCTTTCGGTAAAGTCACGTAGAAGGGAAGTAATAAAATAATAAAAATAAAACATAATAAAACCAGGTCTGTCGCCTCGACAGACCTGGTTTTCACCTGAGGACGGCTGCTTGCGTTGTGGCCGAAACGTCGTGAGAATTGTTTTATTTTTATTATTTTATTACTTCCCTTCTACGTGACTTTACCGAAAGAACCAAGAAGATGAATCCCTGCAGTCACGAAAGCTTTAAATTGAAATTTAATTTGTATCTGTCAATAACAGGGACATGAGCTCAACGTTGAAGTGAATGATTGCTTTTCTTGCGTGCCTGTGTCTGCGTGTGTGATGTGCAGGCCAAGCCAGTGGCATTTGCCGTGCGTACTAACGTGGCCTTCCATTGTGCCAACCAGAAGGATGTCCCCGTGCCAGGAGCAGCCCTGTCCTTTGAGGCCCACGACTTCTTGCACATCACAGAGGCCAGTGCATTCTCCATAGCACCACCAACATCAACAATTGCCATTTGCCACTAAGTGGCGGTGACGTCACCACGACGTTTGTGCCAGGCTAGGTGCACTTTGACCCCATGTGAAGTGTTGAAGGCTCGCTGTCCAAGGGTCATGGAACAAATCCAGTGCCATGGGTTGACTGAGATGACTGGTTCGATGCACCACCTGTGCTCCCCACTGTGCCGACTTGCTGTGTTTTAGCCACCTGACGCTGCACTCATCGTTGTGAGCGTCACTCCTCTGCCCTCCCCTGTTGTTGGAGGGCGACTGCCTCCAACTGCCCTGTAGCATCCTTCAGGAGGTTCCTCCATAGAGGCTGGTCTTCACATTGCTGGTAACAGTCATCGGCAATTTCAATCAGCTCCACATCATCCTAAATCACATCCGTCTATCTCTTCTCTGGCCCATGCTGCACCCGTTTAGCCCCCTCTATCCGGTCAAATAGAACTGCTTGGGCATGTGGTAGCTGAGCATGCGGGCTACATGATCCAGCAAAACGCAGCCTCGCCTGCTGAAAGAGCTCACTGATCAGAATGTGTCCAGATCTTTCATGGATTTGTGAGTTCCTCACACAACCAGCCTGGTTAAATCCAAAATGGATCGTAGGCTGGCCAGCCTGAATGTTTTAAACCGGTTCCATCGGATGGCTCCACATTTCGTAAGCATAGATATGAGAGGGCATAACTGTGGCCGAGAAGACCCAAAGATGTGTGTTTAGCGACAGACCAGGTAGCTTCCACAAAGTGTTACACAGCTGATGAAAATAATGGCACTCGACTAATTCAGTGAGACCTCTGCTGCCAAACCGGAGCTGGTCATAAGCACACTACCCAGGTATGGAAACATCTTCACTCTCTCCACAACTGTCCCATCACTCATGAGGATTCGAGGGGGTGGAGTGTTTGATGACATAAAATACATAGGCAGGTGCTTAGTTTTGGTGGGGCTGTTGGTAAGGCCCCACCTCATATAGGCACGCTTCAGGTTCAGCAGCAGAGCCTTCAATTCCATTTTAAAGTGAGCAGCAGTTACCAGACCATCAGCATACATAACATGGTTGACCAATAGGGAGCCATCCCTTGACTGCACCGGACATCGATCAGCCTCCCATTGTATCTGTACCAGATATAAATTCCTCTGGTAAGACCATGGAGAGTTTCTCGAACAACGTGGATTAAAAAGATGTTGAATAATAGAGAACCAGATGACATCCCTGTCGCACCCCAAGGTGAAGAGGAAATAGCTCTGACTCTCTCCCACGTCCATTTACCTGGGCCTGCCCACCATCATAAAGATACATAATGATTGTGAGCAGAGTCAGGGACCATGAAAGAAAAAATAACCCAGAGCCCTGGCCTATTGATGATATCATAGGCCTTGACCAGGTCAATAAAGCAGTGGTGTTGCTCCCGTTGAAATTCCCTACACCTCCGCTCTTGGTGATTTCAGAGCAAGAATTCCTTCTTCGTCCTGTCTCCAATTTAGTGAGCGGTAGAATGAACGGACTCTTTAAACGGTTGTGATCTCTCTGCCAGTGGTTCCCAACTAGTGCTCCGCAGGGCCGTGGGCAGTGCTCGGTGGAAAGGCTGTAGACGCCATGATGTCGAGTCTCTTCTTTTAACTTGTAAAATGTTTTCCTGGTGTACAGTTGTCCGAAAAAACATCTGTGAAGGTTGACAGTGGCATGAGGGGCCAGAAAAACACTTCCCTTCCTGCTTCTTCCCGCACACCACTCCACTGTGGAATTCCCACCATCTTTTCACCAAGCTCCTCTAATAACCTTGCTCAAGTCCATTAAAGTGATAACTTATAGCTTTTACAGATACAAAAGTGATGTTTGTTGTTGCCTGCTTGACGATTTAGGCCTTGGGCTCGACAACTGTGATTAAAAAACAAATGTGGGAACCGCTGCTGCTGTATCGGATGCCAATCCAATCCCGCCAGCGTCCTTCACATCAATGACAATGAGAGAGAGCGTTGCCACCAGACCGAGAATTGGCATCTATGTTAGCGTGGCAGGAATTCATTAGTACTGAGATCCGGTGGCATTGCATTGAACCGTATCAGAGTAATATACTGCACACTGTGCACAGTGTTGATAGACCGAGGCCAACTAAGTCTCTCAACACGGTCTGGTATGGTCTGTGTAGAAACTGGCCATTCTCCGGTGATACCGGTTGTGCGGGTGTCATTGTAGAAGTACAGCAGTGAATGGTGGATTGGCCGGGCTGTGATGGAAGGAGCACCACTGGGGTTCATCCCGAGCCCTGGCCGTCTGGAGCAACACGCCCGCCGTGCACTCCTCCACCCAAGGTGCCACAAGAGCAACAAGAGCCGCCATTCGCCACTTAGCGGTGGTGATGCCATCACAGTGATCGTGCCAGGCTAGGTACACTTTGAGACGATCGCGTGAAGCGTGGAAGGCTCGATGGTAGACGGTCATGAGATACACCCAGGTGGTATGCGTTAACTGACGGAGATGACTCAGGTACAGAGACAAACACAAAGATCCCCCGTATCGCCTTAACAGACTATTGGGGCAAGTGCTGTTAGCGAGCACCTATGAAGTACGGCACAGCGCACGAGTGGGATGGGTGGCCAGCACCACGCCCAGCTGCCTTTGTCTCTCTGGTGGCAATGTTTACACATCACACCAGATACTCATTTGAGGCCGAGTTGACCTAGGGGAGGCCCAGGACCGTTTCAGATATGTCACCGATATTGGCTGTGAGCGGGAATCAAACACAGGTCGCCAGGTTCATAGTGCAGCGTGATAACCGTTGCACTACCGCACCCCAAACTGGCACACGCATGCGTTAACTCCGTATCTATTACAACTTTGATGGTGCTGTTTGTTGCTGGCCGCTTGATATTTTCGGCCTTTAGGCTCTGTGCTCAACAACTTTGTTGAAATATGTAAAATATGGCCAAATTATACTTTTAAAATGACGCAAGGCATTCGCTTGCGTAGTTATGTAAGAAAATAAGTCGTCACATAACCATCCCTTGAAATTACTAATATAATGAGCCAAGAATGTCTGTGTGTAACGCGCGTGACGTCACTCCACGTCGACATGCCCCCCTCATTAATAATCATGAACAGGTGGGGTCCTCCACATGGACCCCCCCCCCGTCATTAATAATCATGAACGGGTGACGTCACTCCGCATGAAGGTGGAGCGGAAACGAAAATTTGTTTACGCAAATTAGCTTTCATTTTGACCTTTTTTTTAATGGAAAGTAAAGCTAATAAAGAAATCAACGCAGCAACTAATAATGTACCAAAAAAGGCCGTGTGTGTGTCCCGCGCGTCACGTCACTCCACTTGCACCCCCACTCATTATTATTGTGTGCCTGTATTTTTTGACTAACGTAGAAGGTCGAGCGGCTATGATATTTTTTTACGCAAATTCGCTTTAAATTTTACGTATCTTTATAGAAAGTGAAGGCAATAAATAATTCTACGCCGCATCACAGTGAATTTGGTGCCTTTATTTATTTCTTCGGCACGTCCAACAAAAGGTAAGTCTACTTTACGCTTCCATATTATGCTACAATAAACATTTCTCTGCTACTTTGCAGACATTGTATCGAATTTCAATTGTTTTCAACCCCAGCGAACGAACGCGGAAGATAAGTATCAGAGCAGTGAATTGCAAGTAATTGAAGGTCCGTTAAATACAGTGCGACTGTGACATTACGTCGGAATGCAACCGAGGCGAAATCGTTTTCATCCCGAGACTCGACCGAGCCCCAAGTGACGTCACTCTTCCTTTCGTACTGAAACGACGACAAATTCCGATAATTCCTGCGTATGCGATGACGATCAACAAGTAGCAGGGTCAGACTTTTGAAAATTTGGGTATTTATCTCAATGAACCCGTATTTTCCCATGGCCAGTTAGTTGTACGTGGCTCTGTCTTGATCTAATATCCTCAGCAGATCAAAGTGTTCATCAAGGATAGCCAACTGCAGGGAAACCTCTTGAACAGTGATAAGAGATTCACAAAATATCGTATATCGAGAAATCTTCCAAAGTCCTTAATTCCATTTAATAAGTTAAGACATTTTTATTTATATGCTACATTTCCGAATAAAATTAACAATCACACAATAAAAGATAATTTACATCTTTAATATTAAAGCTTCCGTCCTAGGACGAGCTAACAAGCTAGTAACAAATAATTGTTTACAGGCATGATTTACACGATTATATTTTGTGTATAATATAATTAGATTACCCATTAAATAACAATCAGATATTCACATCCCAGGATAAAACAACCTTACACCTTAACATCCCATTGCCAAATCTTGTGATGAAAAAAAATGGCAATTTCCTATTCACTTTTAACGAGCTTCATAACAATTCCTCCCGAATGCTGGAGATGAAAGTTGTACACCATTGCTGTGTGTCGTCCCTCTGCCTCCACACGGACCGCGCAGCAAGGCTGCAGGCGGCGCGGAGGAGAGCGGCGGCGGAGCCAAGCACACGGCGGCAGCCCCGGCCCATGGTCGGTGACAGCAGCTGTAGCCCTCTCCTTTCTCTCTGTCTGTGTGTGTGTCTGTCTAATTAATAAGATTGTGCCGGAGGCTACGGGGGGACAGGCGTCTATGACGTCTCCTGGCCAAACCCCATCTGGCGGAGCTAGGATATTGCATTTTTACCCTCGGGGCTGCTCCAGAAACAACAAAAAGCCACTACGTGTGACCACGTGGAATGTTCAAACGCTCACTGCGGAGGAAAGGCTGCCACTCCTCTGTCGCGAGCTGGACTGGTACCGCCTGGATCTCTGTGGCATACAGGAGGTCCAGTGGACCGGCTCTGGCTCCTGCCACCATGAGGGGTGGACAGTCCTCTACTCGGGGCAGGAGACTGCCAAAAAACAGGGTGTGGCTCTTCTTCTGAACAAAAGAATGAAGGGGACGTGGGAGGGTGGCGGTGAGGTGTGGGAAGCTGTAAGCCCCAGGCTACTTTGGGCTCGCCTTCCCATCGACCGGAGGCGACGAGTGGTGGTCGTGGTTACTTATGCTCCCACTGAAGACGAACATCTGTGGAGGGATGATGAGTCAGATGCCTTATATGACCTCCTGTCACAGGTGCTGGCTAAAGTGACCCCTCGGGATAGAGTCATCTTGTTGGGTTACTTCAATGCCTGAGTTGGTCATGATGCTGGCACCTGGTCTGAAGTGATTGGAAGGCATGGGCCAGATCAGCTCAATAACAACGGTAGGAGGCTGCTAGATTTTTGTGCAGCCCATGGGCTTGTAATTACCAACACGCTGTTCCGGCATCGGCGCATCCACACAACATCATGGATGCATGCCGGGTCCAAGCAAGAACATCTGCTGGACTACATAGTGACAGACCAGCGGATGCGAGCCCATATCCTTGACACCAGGACCTACCGTGGAGCTGATCTGCCCTCTGACCATCGACTTGTCATCTGTAAGATGCGCCTGCCATTCTTCCACTCCGGTGGTGGGTGTATACCCAGGACCCCATTCCAACCTAAGGTAGCTTGGTCTCAGCTGGCTGATGGAAGTTGCAAGTGAGAATTTCATCATCGCTTGCGGCTGGGGTTGGCATCGTCCCCCACTCCTGATGTGAAGGGTAAATGGGTGAGGTTTAGGACTGACTCATGCAGCTGCAATGGCTGCTTTGGGTATGCGGTCCAGACCTCCCCAGAGACCCTGGCTGACAGAGGAGATGTTCAGGATGGTTGAGAAAAAGCGACAGGCCCACTCTAATCGTCTACAGCATCCCACGTCAGAGAATGAGGAGGCTTTCCGCAGCCTTCGCTCGGAGGTTGGGAGAACCGTGAGGCGCTGTAAGGATGGGTGGTGGTCGCGAGTTGCTGAGGAGATGGAGTCTGCCTCAATGGCCCGCGATCACAAATCCATATTTAACTCCATCAAAAAAGTAACCTGCAGCACCACACCTATTACCATCATTAGGGGAAAGAACGCTGATCCAATCTCCGACCCCCAGGAACAGGTTTGCAGATTTGCTGAGCATTCCTGTGAGTTCCTGGAGGAGAGGGAATCCCTCAGCCTGGAAAACATCATGGGACAAAGTGGGAATGACCCTGTTGAGGCTGCGGTGCCTCAAATATTGGAGGAGGAAGTCACCCCCTGTGAGTGGCTGGCTGAGGTGCCATCCGTTGAGGAAGTACTAAAGACGATCCAGAGTCTGAGACCAGGAAAGGCACCGGACAGAGATGATTTCCCAAGCGAAATGCTGAGGGAGGGTGGCGTTTGTGCGCAGACTGCCCTACATGACGGGTTCCGCAGGTTCCGCAGGAATGGAAGGATGCCCTGGTGGTCCCCCTCTTTAAGAAGGGGGACCACCAGGGCATCATCGGGCACTCCACCCCACAACTCCCAATTGGTGATGGGGCAGTTGTGGAGAGAGTGGAGAGTTTCCCATACCTGGGCAGTGTGCTCATGACCGGCTCTGGTTTAACAGCAGAGGTATCACTCCGAATCAGTCAAGCGGCATTATTTTTTCATCGGTTGTGTAACGCTGTGTGGAAGCTACCTGGTCTGTCGCTCCGCACGAAGCTTCTGGTCTTCTCGGCCAGTCATTCCCTCCCTTCTCTACGCTTGCGAAACGTGGACCCCCATAATGGAACATCTCCGTCGGTTAGAAACATTTAGGCTGGCCTGCCTACGATCAATCCTGGGTTTAACCAGGCTGGATTGTGTGAGGAGCTCACAAATCCTCGAAAGATCTGGACAAAGTCCCATCGGTGAACTCCTCCGGCAGGCAAGGCTGCGTTGGCTGGGCCATGTAGCCCGCATGCCCAATCACCGCATGCCCAAACAGATTTTGTTTGGCTGGATTGAGGGGGCTAAACGGGCGCGGCACGGGCTAGAGAAGAGATGGAGTGATGTGGTACAGGAGGATGTGGAGCTGAGTGGACTTGCCAATGACTGGTGCCAGCGGTGTCAAGATCGGCCTCTGTGGAGGAGGCTCGTGAAGGACGCTATTGGGCAGTTGGAGGCAGTCGCCCTCCAACAACAACAGAGGGCAGAGGAGCGACGCTCACAACAACGAGCGGAGCGCCGGGTGCCTAAAAGCACAGCAAGTTGGCACAGTAGGGGGCACAGCCAGTCATCTCAGTCAGTCGACCCGTGGCACCTAGGTCTGCCCCGTGATCTCCTGCCGGCGGGCGTTCGACACTTCACGTAGTCTCAACGTGCACATAGCCTGGCACAAGCGTCGTGGTGACGTCCCCGCCACTTAGTGGCCAATGGCGGTTGTTGTTGTGTCTGTCTGTGTGTATTTGTGTGTGACGCGTGTCCCCCCGTCTGTTCCACGCCGCGACACAATCACCCGAATCCCACCTTGGTGATTCTTTAACTCAATTGCACGACGGTTTTTTATTACAGCAATTTGTCCTAGCCAACGTTCGTCACAGGTAATGTATTTGGTTTGATACTCTTTATGTTTTAATACTTCTGTCATGCGGTTTAAAAAATATTGCTCTATTTATTTGTTTGTGCTTTGATTTTTGTTTGCTTCATGGATGCACTTCGTCTTTATGTTATGTTTTTGTCCTTTTGGTGACCCAGATCCCTCTTGCAAATGCGAATCTACTTGTGTCTTGTGTTCTTACGCGGTTAATTAAAACAAAATTGAATCACACCACCAGCTACCACAATACCAACTACCACCATCACTACTCCTACCAGCAACCACATTTCCTACATCCACCGTAACCACGCCGCGTATCGCCATTCCGCGAAAGCTGTGCGTAAGCTCCAGTTATTTTTCATTAATCACGGTCGGTGCACGCTCTCGTTGTGTCCCTCTCACTGCTCACGCAAGCAGCCAAGCATAAACAAAAGCTGGTGAGTTCCGGGCTTGACATGCGCAAAGTAAATAATTGTTTGCTTAACATATCTATCCTTACACGTAAAAAAAATGTATTGTACGTATCTTTTACACATACCATCAGCGGTACATCCTTCTATATAAGTGCATACTTGCAGCATACTTGCAGCAGCATTGGTTCAACACGAGCAAACTCTGGACCATTTGGACTCTCTGTGTCTCATCATCAGCAGAGCCAGGCTTAGGGCCATCCATTTAGTCCGTACGCAAAAATCTGTCAAAACCTGACCCCTCCCCCCCTCCCTGTACGCATGCGGACTTATTACACCCCCCCCCCCCCACCTGCGTACGTTCGCCTGGCGCACCCCCCTGCCCAATCCTATAAAACGACCGATATTTAATCCACGCAGTAACGATCAAGGATTAAAATAATATTAAACGTGTTTAAGCAAACAGATAGTCCACCGCCGGACTATCTAACTCATTTGAAGGCCAATGTAGCCAAATTATTATCGAGGCTTCACCCCCCCCCCCGTTTCCTATGCGTACATTGTCAGTAGACCCCCCCCCCCATACTCAAGCGTACGCATTTGTGTTACCCCCCCCCCCCCTCCATGCGCACGTGCTGAGTGGATGCCCCCTGACTTGAGCCAGAGCTGGTGAACTGCCAGATGTTTTTCGGCAAAAACGCGCTCTGTTAGATATTGATTCCTGCTCGGTGGAAAACGACGAAATGCATAAAACAGTAATTTGCGTCGTGGAGAATGAAAGTTACAAAAGAAATAACATTTTATGTTATTACTCATATTCTCCATAATGACGCGAATGATTATTTTGTGTTGTGTATTTTGCAGTTCTTACACTCGTTCACATTTGCCCACACACGTCATGGCACGTACACATTTTAAATATGTAACGAACACAGTTTGCGTTTACACAGTGTATATCTCACCCAGTCAAACACACACGTAAATACACAATTAAGTGATTCACGTAGAATAAACTCGCGCGGTGGCGTTTTCAGGCGTTGAGTGAGCGAGTTTTAATCACGTATTTAAATCAGCTGGGACTGGCGACACGTTTGTTTCTCTGCTGTCGATGTTTCTGCTGCGGACCCAAAACCTCACAGGCGGAGGGGATTCCTCCATACGACGTAGTGCCATCGATGCGTCCCGTGGTGCTGGTCGGGCCTTCACTCAAGGGCTACGAGGTTCGGGTTGGGGCTCTGCGGTTCCGCAAGACAGGATCATTCACCCCGCACGGCAGTGATGCTGCTTGGGCGTCTTGTGTAGAACCACACAACCACTTGAAATACTCATGCCAATTGAATAAAATAATCTGCCATCCACTCAGAAAACCACAACCGAGACATTAGTGGCGTCTCATTCACACGTATCATGAGTGGTTATGCATCGTTAATACGATGCGTGCATGTGTAGCGCACACACAGTGCAGCATTGTCATGCAGCTGTTCAATATATGAAACCTAATATTACAAAATATTTAAAATACCGTACAGGTCCAAAGGCCCAAAATGTAAAGCAGCCAGCAACAAACAGCACCATCAGAGAAATAATTGACAAGAGCACATTTCTTGAATTGAGCAAGAGCTTGGGGGAAAGGAGGGAAGTCAAATGTGCCAGGGCGGATGCAGAACGAGTAGCGTTGTGACCCGCAGTGCGGTGGTTAAACACAGCGTGGATGACATGTGGATGAATCAATGAGCAAAGTTCAAAGGAACAGTGGCCATGGTAGTAGCGATAGAGGTTTGAAGGTTTCTGTATTGTTGATTAAATGCTTCCGAAGACAAACATTGGGACACGTTATGCATGATTTTGCTGATTTGTCCTGGATTGCCTTGCCACTTGTGTGTTGTGAACAGATCACAGATATGATGCAGAAGGCACTGTTTGATTTTCTCAAGCACAGATTCGAGGGAAGGTGAGTTGCCTTTCTTGGAAATATTTTACAACAGAGAAGCCCAACCCAGCAACAGTGGAAGTAATTGTACTATGGATAAATTTGTCCTCACCATAGGAATGAGTAACTTTCACCACTGGCTGAGGGCCGTCAACAGTGGTGGTGAGATGTTAACTTCATCGCCTGGTATGCAGCAGATTGTGAGTTTGATCACGACCCTGATGCCTGTATATTTGCAGTTTGCATATTCTCCCTATGGTCGCGTGGATTTTTCTCCAGGATCCTCCTGTTTTTCATTTCACATTTAAAAACACAGAGTATATGGCTGCTATAAATGTTCACGTGATAAGCCACTTCGTTGAGCTATCATTTGTGGCCAGGTCACTTCTGAAAAACAGCTGTATAGCTCAGTGGCCCTTACCTGGTATAAAAAAAAAGATTTCAAGTACAGGGTGTTTAAAAAGGATGGACCCAATTTTAAAACAGGATATTTCACGATGGCAACATGTTACAATTACACAAAAAGTTACAAACGGTTTAATGAGTTGTCAACTTTTACTAACCATTTTATAAATGCTCTATGTGCCCTCCACCTGCTGTACGGACAACATCGAGACGATAGTTGAATTCGTCCCCAACACCTCTCAAAGTGTCTTCTTCCACTGAAGTCACCGCTGCCGTGATTCTATTTTTGAGGTCATCCAGATTAGTTGCTAATGGTGGCACAAAAACACGGTCTTTGACGTATCCCCACAAGAAAAAGTCGCAGGGTGTGATGTCTGGGGATCTTGGGGGTAAAGAGTGTAGCGCCAAATCTTGGGGTCCCGTGTGACCTATCCAACGTTGAGGCAGTGTGTCTTGCGAATGACTGAGGCTACGGGCTGTTTGTGCGCTGGGAGAGGCATCTAGCGGTAATCATTTGAAACTCTATGCCCTGCTCTTTCAAGTGGTAAGAGTTTCATTCATGGGCGGTTCGTGGTTACACAGATATAGCGATTTCAAATCGGGTCGATCTTTTTAAACACCCTGTATTACAGGAGATGAGCTCCACCTCAATGCTCATTTGAGCAGGAACTCACTTGTGGCATGACAAGAGGAAAGTGTAATGCAGGGGTCCTCAAACTACGGCCCGCGGGCCACATGCGCTGGTGAGCACTGATTGAGCTGCGGCGGTGGGCAATGATTGAGCTGCGGCGGTGGGCACTCATTAGGCTGCGCTGGTGAATGGTTCAATGGGCCAATTGACTGGACTTGCCCCCCAGGCCTACGGCTGCCAGCCCTCCCCTGGCTGCGCTTGACTGGCTCTCCCTCCCTCAGCTCCCACACTTGCCCCTCGGCTCCACTCCCAGTGATATTTCCGTGTGCTGAGTAAATGATAGAGGGGTAATAACAGAGTGATCTCTGATCTCTGGAGGGGCTGCCTGCTGTTTTCCCGTGCTGGTCAGTGACAGACAGCCGAGGAGTAGGAAACCCAATTTAAATGACAGTAAGTGCATTTATATTCTGATTGCTATTCAATTATATGAGGTTATATGTTGTATGTTGTGTAAGCCCCGGTTCATACTGTTGCGATCTCTGAGCAGTGCGAGTTCAGCCATATGCTTGTATGGCTGAACTTGCATTAGATTCAGAAGAAAAAGGCACATGTGCCTTCTTTTTTCCTGCAGTGGAATCGGATCGCATGGGTCTTCTCCCCCATGCGATCAGATTCCTATGCGAGTTCGCAGATCGCACTGCGATCTGTGAACAAAACTGCAGGTGTAATTAACTTTTTAATGGCACCCGCACCAGTGTGAGCCTGGGGTAAAAGCGGAGTTCCCCCAATCAGACTGCATTGATGGGCAGTGCAGTCTGTATGTCTCTGTGTGGGCAAAGTTATTGCTGGTATATTGTTTTTTTAGCGCTGTACATATATTGGTATTTTACTAATAGCAATTTTGACTCCCTAGGAAACAATGATGTAAAGAAAGAGAAAAATTGACTCGGAGTGTAGGATATTCAAAAAGCAGTGGACTTATGATTACTTTTTCATGCAGTACAAGGAAAGAGCTGTGTGTCTGATATGCCAGAATATAGTGTCTGTGTTCAAAGAATACAATTTACGTCGACACTATAAAACTCAACATAAAGATAAATATGATTGTTTGGTCGGAGAAAGTGAGAAAAGATAAAATATTAAAACTGAAAAATACATTAACAACTCAGCAAAATACTTTTGTGAAGCAGAAGCAGCTAAATATTTCATCACTGCGAGCAAGTTTTCAAGTTGCCAAGCTAATAGTGTGCACTGGCAGACCATTCGTGGAGGGAGAATTTGTTAAAGAATGCCTTCTTTCTGTTGCCAAAGAGATGTGTCCAGAGAAGGCCGATTTATTTAGTACAGTGAGTCTTTCAGGACCTACAATTACACGGAGGATTGAAGAAATGGGAGACAATTTCCATCAGCATTTGCAAAACTCCACAAAAAAACTTTCCTATTTGTCCTTGGCACTCGACGAAAGCAATGATGTTCGTGATTCTGCACAACTTCTAATTTTTATTCGAGGGACGAATGACTATTTCGATGTCACAGAAGAGCTTGCTGGACTGCAAAGCATCAAAGGAACAACAACAGGAGAGGATATCTATGAAAAGGTTTGCCAAACTGTGAATGGTTTGGAGCTGAACTGAGCTAAACTAGCCAGTGTGACAACTGATGGTGCTCCTAGCATGGTGGGGTCTAAGAAAGGAGTAATTGCTCGCATTAACCAAGAGATGGACAAACATAACCATTCTCATCCAATAGCCATACACTGCCTCATCCACCAACAAGCGCTGTGTAGTAAATCACTGAAGTGGGACTCTGTTAACTTCACTAGAGCTCATGCACTAAACCACAGACAATTTCAGGAATTTCTGTCTGAGCTAAATGTTGACTATGAAGATGTTCTGTACCACACAGAAGTCCGTTGGCTGAGTCTAGGGAGAGTTTTGAAACGTTTCTATGACTTACTTCCACAGATTACAGCTTTTCTGTTTTCAAAAAACAAAGAAGTACCAGAGCTCAATGATGCAGAATGGAAATGGCACCTTGCCTTTCTGACAGATGTAACAGAGCTACTCAACAGTTTCAATGTGCAACTTCAAGGAAAGGGGAAGCTCATCTGTGATATGCAATCACATGTCAAAGCATTTGAAGTAAAATTAGGCCTCCTCATCAAACAAGTGAAGGAGGAAAACTTCTGCCATCTCCCCACAACTCAAAATCTGTTAGCGGAAAAACCATTGGTTGCATTCCCAAACAAAACATGTGTGGATTCACTGGAAAAATTGCAAAAGGAGTTCCAATTTAGATTTAAAGAGCTTCGTCTCCATGAACAGGACATACAGCTTTTCCGTAACCCATTTTCTATTGACATTGAAAATGTGGATACAATTTACCAAATGGAACTGGCTGAACTGCAGAATTGTGACTCTCTGAAAGACGCATTCAAGTCAAGCAGCCTTCATAATTTCTATGCATTTCTCCCCTCTGAAACATCCTCATCTCAGGAACCATGCACTCAAAATGGCAACCATCTTTGGCAGCGCTTATGTCTGTGAACAAACTTTTTCCAGAATGAAACATTTGAAATCTCCAACCAGATCTAGACTAGCAGATGCACACTTGCATCACTTGTTACGACTAGCAGTGACAAATATGGAACCGGACATTGACCATCTCATTAGCCAAAAGCAGGCCCATAGTTCCCATTGAAATACTGGCAAGTTTGTTGATTTAACTTTACTGTTCTTCATTTTAAATATTGTATTTGTTCCCGTTTTGTTTCTTTACTTCAAAATAAGATATATGCAGTGTGCATAGGAATTTGTTCATAGTTTTTTTAACTATAGTCCGGCCCTCCAACGGTCTGAGGGACAGTGAACTGGCCCCCTCTTTAAAAAGTTTGAGGACCCCTGGTGTAATGGGTTGAGAGCACAGTGGAAATTGGTGAATCACTGGTGTGCTATAAAAAATAAGGCACAAAAATTAGTTTAAAAAAGTACACAGCCTGTGTATTAGGCAAAAATCCACCAGCATTTCCTGAAGAAGTGCATTGTGGTCCTAGCGTGCATGCGGTTTTCACTCTGGCAGCTGCCTAATAATTTTGAATGGAATTTTTAATGAAATTACCCAAGTAACGTTAACATTACATATGATTTGAGATCATATGAAGGGTATACCTTTGTGTGCTCGCATCATGGCCCAAATTCGAAGTGTGAAAATTGCTGTAAATTATTTTAAAAAAAGCCATTGCCCGCTGTGTAACTAAAATGACCCAGATCTCATTTGGAAAAGATAAATATTTGCTTAAAATAGAAGAATTTGAGAACATCAGTAAGCCGTATAATCCGCTATCGTAGTGTAGCTCGGTGACTCTACTCACGTGACATCCTCAGTTGTAAAACCCTTCTGTGATCGTACAACGTTCACTCGTTTCCTGTCCTGGAGGCGATGTGTTACATTAATTAAGGAAGTCACACGTATTTTGAGTGAACTACAGTTCAAGAACTATGAAGTAATCTTGATTTGTACGGACAGAAAACGATTAAGTCGCATAGTGGAGAATATAAGTAACAACATATGTACCTCGACATCTTTTTTTTACACATTCCATAGCTACACGACCTTTTGGGGGTACGCAATTTTGCCAGCATTAGTTCAATAAAAGAAAACAATGGACCAATTTCCAGATTCAGTGTCTCATCAGCAGTCAGGCTTGCTTGAACCAATGCTGGCGAAATTTCAGTTGTTTATAAGCAAGGGACCTCTCTAAGATATGGGTCCTCATTGGACACAGAACCATATAACACATAAGACTAATCATATAATTTGGTATAATGTACACATATAATTACGTACTCCTTATATATGTATGTTAAACTTATCTAGCATTGTACGTCGCCAACCTTGCAAATCGGAGGTACTTTGGCCGTTAAACGACAACCGGTAGTCAACCGGTAGCAAACCTATAATAGTATTTCACCATGATGTTCCATGCAGTTACCGATAATGCAAAAAAAGAGTTACCAACCCCTGTTTGTGCACCAGTAGCATGTGCTGTCACGATGTATACGGTGAATATAATCATCCTGTCTGGAATAAGAAAGCACTACACGTTGGTGAATAACCATGTGGCCTTAAAAAGAAATATAAAATAGGTGAAAATGTAGGCATTGGCGCTTCTTCACAACACATAAAGAAGCCAGAGAGAATATCTACCATTGCCCAAACCGTCACCTATAAAACACTTGTTCACATTAAGAGAGTGTCATCGACAAATGTGGTGACTTTATTCATATTATTGGCACCACTACAAATACAGTGTCACCAATTTGTCTGAACTGTGGTGCGCTCATTCATACTGCTTGGTGGACAGAGGTAAGTGGGGTGGATTTGAGAAACTATCGTTTCAGCTGCCATGCTGGAAGGTGGAATCGAACAGGTGAATTCTGGATTACAAGTCCAGCGTGGTGACCAATGCAGCACCAAAGTGGCGTTGACAGATTGAGCTGTTCTCCTGTGCAGGATCTCTATCACTCGTGTCACTGCTGATATCTCGCTGGCTCGCCGCTCTCTGGTGATCAATCCCAGCAGGCATGCACCCCTGGAGCGCACCACAGCCCGTGCCACCTCTGGTAAGTCTCCTGTAGAAAAATACGCACACAGACAAAGATTCCCCGTAGAGCCTGTAACAGACTGTTGGAGCAAGTGCTATTAGTGAGCACCTATGAAGGCCGGCACGGCATACGAGGGGGTGGGTGGCCATCACCATGCCTTTGCTTCTCCAGTGGTGATGTTTACATACCGCACCAGGTACTCATTTGAGGCTGTCGACCTAGGGGAGGCCCAGGACCGGTTCAGATTATCGTGACTGGTGTTGGCCATAAGTGGGAATTGAATTTGGTTCACCAGGTTTGTAGTGCAGCGTGCTAACCACGTGTCTGTGCACCAAATCGCCGAGCACAGGCTAGGGCCTCCATCTTTTCCAAAGAACAAACCTAAACATATTTCTCATTTAGCTCAGGTCTATAAAAATTGTACGGTCTACTGTGATATAAGTTCAACACAGTACCTCCAAATATCGGTACAATTCAATTCCTGCCACCCAAATACAGATGTAATTTGTAGGACAGGTGGCAATCCTAGCATAGGTCCAAAGGCCCAAAACATCAAGTGGCCAGCAACAAAGATCACTTTCAAAGTTGTTAAAGGGAAGATTAAACAAGTTTATTGAATTCAGCAAGGTTATTATTAAGACTTGGGAAAATCGACGATGGGAGGGAATTCCAAAGTGGAGCAATACAAGGAAAGAAGCAGAAAGAGAAGCTTTGTGACCTGCAGTGTGTGTGGCTGTTGAGTGGGGAGTGCGTGGGTTTGTGGGTGAGCGTTGTTTGGAACTGCAGTGTGGTGGTTGAACACAGTAAGAGACAATACAGTATGGCAGTCCTCTAATTGGGCGGAATGAAGTTCACAGGAACAGTAACCATGGAAATAGTGATAGAAGAATGATAAGGCGGCGACTCACCCCTGATTATTGAGTGACTGGAGTGAAGCAGCAAGTGCTGGTTCATCAATCCCCCGACTGCTTCACTCTGAACTCTATCCGATGCAGTAAGGTAGGAACTGTGTGCTCCACCGCAGGTTGTAATGATAGAAAATAGGGCTGCGTATATACGAATCACACACGTGCACGTATACTCGTGTAATAAAGCTCGTTGAGGCGACTTCTGGAATCCGGTCTTTTATTAAACTTTGCATTACAGCTTTCCTTCACGCTGCTGACAGGCAGCGTGAGAGGGACAGATAGAGAGACACACTGCCACGTGGCAACCCAGAGCCCCGCTCCCGCGTGGCCCCCTTCCTCTGTTCGTTCCCGTTCTGACCACGTGTCGTACGTCTCCACCCCTATTTAATACCCGGGTCACGTGGTACGTTTCCACCAATCCTGGTTAGCCTTTATGGAATATTCCAGAGGCTCCCGGGACCACGCCCCTGACTTGTCTCCCCATTGGCTGTGGCTAAAGCCAGCAGAACCAATCCTCTACAACCAGCTGTCACCTTTCCATTACGTCAGGGCCACGCCTCTAGGCTTCCCCCCATTGGCTATAGACCAGGACCGGCAGAGCCAATCGTCGTGACGAGTTGTAATCCGTCAACGACCCGGATATAACCTCACATTACATCACCCCCACCCCCCCCCCACCCCCCCCCGGTGTAAAAAGTCAGCCATCTCGGCTGGGAAAAGGGGTGACAGGCCGAATCCCTGTGAATAATCTTAGGGCGTCTGAGACGCATTAACAAGGTAAGGGGGAGTAGGCATCAACGCGCCGAGGAATGTAAAACATTAAACAACAGACATACATTAGGGCGCCCCTGGAGCGCAGTAACACCAGGGTGACAGACCGCAAGGCAAGCAGTATTAGCGAAATGGGAGAGACTTCGACCGCGTACGCGACGCCGGACCCTCTCCTCCTTTCGTTCGTGGTTGCCTCGCCAACTGTTCAGCAGGAGGTGGTTGCCGTGGAGAAGAAGAAGTTTCGGTTTCCATTGTATCTGGGACAGGCCCCTTTGGAGGTGGAACGTCCAAGGTCTCGTCGTCCTTCAAAACCTGTGCGTCTGCGGGGGGTAGAACACAGCCCTGCTGGGGATCAATCGGCTCAATCGGCGAGGCAAGTGGCACATTCGGCACGCCAGACCCCGGCAGGTCAACAAGTGGAGATGAAGGGCCAGCACGCGGGTCAGCATAAGGCTTGAGTCGCGACGAATGGACATACCAACGACATTGGCCGTACTGGATGCGAACACTCTGGGGATTCCGAATGTTCACCAGCCTCACAGGCCCCCGCCAAGGCTTGTGCAGTTTAGGGGACATGCCCACTGGCACCTGAGGGCAATGGAGCCATGCCCGATCGCCCACCGACCAGGGCATGTCAGTTCGCGATCGACGCGCATACCTCTCGTTCCTTGCCTGCGTACGGGCCGTCGCACATCTGGCTGCCTCTCGCGCCTCCGTAACCCGTTTAAGCGAGTCCCGTACGTGATCAGGCAAGGAAGGGGACGGTTGTTTACCCACCGCACCCAGTTGCACATCAATCGGGGGTACATTCTCACGACCATACATCAGGAAAAATGGCGAATATCCTGTGGACGCGTGCGGAACCATGCGGTATGCCGCCAGGACGCCCGGTATGTGCAAGTCCCAATCGGTTTGTTTTTCACTCACCGTGTGACAGAGCATGGCCGAAAGGGTGCGGTTAAAGCGTTCCACCATGCCATCCATTTGCGGATGGTAAGGGGAAGTACGGATTTTCTTTGTGCCCAGCGCAGCGCATACATCCTTGAGCAATTTGGAGGAGAAGTTACGTCCTTGATCCGTGAGCAGCCCTTCGGGTGCTCCTTTATCCATGACGTAACCATTCAAGAAAGCCTCGGTCAGGCAGAGGCCAGGCCATAGGCCAGCGAGAAAAATATTCGACCCCGACCAAAAGGTATTTGTTTCCCCTAGCCGTTGGAGGGAACGGGCCCAGGATGTCCAGAGCAACTAGCTCATAAATACGGGACACCTCAATTGAACGTAGTGGTGGAACATAATTTTGACGAGGCGATTTCCTCTTTGCACAATCATGGCATGACCGGATAAAGTCAGTGACATCTGCCGTCATGCCGGACCAAAAGAAATCCTGCTACATCGCGGCCAACGTTTTCTGCACGCCGAGATGCATCAGTTCGTCGGCGTGCAGAGCGTGGAGTAGGTCGTGGCGAAGGGATGTCGGCACAACCAGGCGTGAACGGTCAGACAATCCATCCGTACACATCAATAGTCCTGCCTGGCCCCGGAACATCTGCCATTTCCATCTCGCCAAATGAGATCTCGGTTTCCCGATCAGTTTCCGCAGCGGAGCCAGAGAGGCATCGGCCTCCTGCTCGCGTAGCCACACCGAGTGCGGCAAATGCAGCGTATCGTCGGCGCCAACGGGTACATCCTGGCCTTCATCGTTCGACATCGCCCCCATAACCGGACAGGGCGAGGTAGGCAGCGCTGCACAACGGTGCGTACCCATCAGACAGGCGCAGGGAGGAGTTGGGGGCAACCTGGAGAGAGCGTCCGCGTTGCCATGGCGAGTACCCTTGCGGTACTTGATCTCGAAGGAAAATTCCTGTAATGATTCCAACCACCGAGCCAATTGACCCGATGGTTGTTCCAATTTCAACGAATATTGCAAGGCCGCATGATCAGTGTGCACGAGGAATTTCCTTCCATACAGGTACGGCCGGTACTGGCGAACAAAATGTATGATTGCTAATAGTTCCCGTCGCGTCACGCAATATCGCATTTCGGCGGGAGACAGAACCCTGCTACCGTATGCCACCACTCGCACGACCCCGTCTTTCCGTTGCGACAAAACGGCTCCTATGCCGATATCACTAGCATCCGTGTCAAGGATGAACGGGTGGGAAAAGTCCGGGTAGTCGAGCGTCGGCGCGGTGGCGAGGTGATCCCGAAGGGATTGAAAAGAGCGCTCCTCTTCCGGGCCCCATTTAAATCTCAGATTTTTCCCCGTCAGAACATGCAGTGGCTTAGCCAGCGTCGCGAAGTTCTTAACAAAACGGCGATAGTAGGATGCGAACCCAATAAACCGCCCTACGTCGCCCACTGAAGTGGGCGTGGGCCACTCTCGGACACACGCCGTTTTCTGAGGGTCCGTGGACACACCGTCCGAGCTGATGATGTGACCCAAGTATCGGACGGACCGTTGCAAAAGGTGGCACTTTTTCGGTTTAAATTTTAGGTCAGCCGAGCTCATCCTCTGAAAGACAGTCTCCAGGCGTTGGAGATGTTCTTCAAACGTGCGGCTGAATACGATGATATCGTCCAAATATATGAGGCATGTTTCCCACTGCAGCCCCGCTAGCACCAGTTCCATCAAACGTTGGAACGTCGCCGGTGCCGCATTCAAGCCCATAGGTAAGCGGTTAAACTCAAAGAGGCCTTGTGGCGTGCGGAACGCCGTTTTTGGTTTGGACGCGTCATCGAGGGGAAGCTGCCAAAACCCAGACGACAGGTTGAGGGTGGAGAAAAAATTTGCCCCTGACAAAGCGTCCAATGAGTCGTCCATCCGTGGCAAGGGGTATGCGTCTGCCACGGATATCTTATTCAATCGGCGGAAATCTACACAAAACCTTGTCCCACCATCCTTTTTCTTAGCCAGCACCACCGGCGCGCCCCAAGGACTGTTGGACGGTGAAATTATATCGGCCGCCAACATGTCTTCCACCGCGCCGCGCACGTGTTCCCTTTCAGCAGGGCTCATGCGATGCGGGTGCATACAAATCGGTCCCGCCCCACCGGTGTCAATATGGTGCGACAATAGCGAGGTATGGTCCAGATCCAAATCGTTTTTACTGAAAACGTCAGCGTACTCCAACAATAATGAATGCAAAGCACCCCTTTGCATGGCCGACAAAGATGTACTTTCCCCGCACAAATCTGCGATCCATCGATCGTGTGAATGATCGTATCGAGGCCCGCCAGCGGCCCATTTAGTGGGTGGTTTACCCTCAAAGCTGGTGAAATCGGTAGTGGCGTGAGCCAATACCGATCCAGCCGGGACGACGACCCGGTTTGGGCCCCCATTTAATACTTGTGTAGTAAGTTCGAAGAGACGATGTCGAAGTTGAGGCACACTCTGTTTATTAACTCCGGGACAGGTACAATAGTTGAAGGGGTATCGGCCCCTTCACCCGTACTATGGGAAACCCACCCTAGTCCTAAGCCCTCTGTCCTGTCCCCCAGTCCTCCTCTACTGGGCTACGGGAGGCTGACTGATCTGGCCCTGGCAAGCACAGATCTCGGCACCAGCTAACCAGCCTTGCCCTGATAAGGGCAGCGGTCTGGAAGCTCTTGGGCCGCGCCACTGGCTTACCCGGCTCGGCCCTTATAAGGACGGCGAGACCGGGGAGTCCCAGGGCCTAATCTCCGAGTCTTGGATCTTCACTTGGTCAGCTTCGTGTCGAACTGAACCCGAGCTCTTTGGGTCTCCACCTTTTATAGGGATCGCCTCCGAGGGCTGGGGGCGTGGGCAATAACTGATGCGGACGTCGGTGTGACCACCCGTGTATGTGAGTGCCTACAGCCCTGTGTTTGTTTTCCGCCAGTTTCTCCCGTAATAACCCCTACACTTGTATAAACGGGGCCTGACCAGGCCGAACGATAGTTTGAGCCGCTACTAGGGAAAAGGATCTTGCCACCGAATTCGACGGGGACAACAGCACACCCGTCGCACCGTCTGCAGCATCCAACCGCTTTCGGTAACGCAGCGGAACAAGCATTTGCGAGCCTGATGGCACCTCCACCATGGCAGCAACAATCGCATTAACCGTGTTACCCGGGGGCGAACGGCCCAGCAGGGAAGGCAGGAACGACATCCTACGGCCCCCTGGCATTTCTAAGCAACCTTGGTCGACGAGTATCTTAATTGGCATGCGGCGCAAGAAATCGGTGCCCAATAGGCATGGGACGGCCAGTGAACGAGAAATCAACACTGGTCCCTCCGCGGTGATATTCCCAATAGCAATGCGCACATCAACTTTCCCCAAAATACCCATGCTACCCCCATTAGCAGCAACCCACGCGTCATTAACCGGTCGGATCCGTGACATAGGAATGGACAGGAGATGAAAAATTACATCGGAAATGATGGTGGCAGACGCGCCAGTGTCTACCAAAATACGAACATCGACGCCATCGACGGTACGGGGTACCGACGCGGCTGCCACCACCCTACGGGCAATTTTTTCCATTGTGTCGCAGAGTGCGGCATCGACACAGGTACACGACAATTACCGTCCGGAGTGCAAACATGTGTGCAAGTGGATGGGTGATGTGACAAGACCTGCCGGGTATCTGATGTGTGCTGACTTGCCCGAGGGTGCCGTGGATCCGCGTCCGGTGGAGGAGATGGAAGCCGGCCCGACGGGAGCTGAGAAGGCAGAGGTCGGCAGCGGCAATCCCGGGCGAAATGGCCTCGTCGACCACACCTAAAACACGTGGCCGCCGGCGGTCGCTCGTCCCGGTCTCTGCACGTGGTTGTCCGGCCCCATCACATCACGCTGCTCGCGCGACCGGCATTTTGGGACCCAGCGAGGAACAGCAGCCATCACCTAGTCCTCGCTGGAGTAATTGGAGCCGTGGACGACCCGACGTGGAGACCACCCCAACGGTGGAGCGTCTATTTCGGGATTCCCCGTCCATGCCGCCATCTGATCCCAGCATTTTAGGTTTAACTTGGCGTCCAAGCAGCGCGCCACCCATCGCGACGTAAGTGGTTCGTGGCTGCACACCGGCAACGAGATGTTAAGTTCCTGGGGCAGCTCAATCATTCTGGAAAGGATGAGAGGATCCAGGAGATCAGCTGACGAGTCGGGGTAGGCGGCCATGGCAAGCGCTAACAGCGCCCCTTGGTACGCCAAGGGCGATTCCTCTGGTCCTCGACGACGTGACATAAATTTCCTGGTAGCCGCCGTCGGCGGTTCGTAAAACTCTGCCATTTCCGTGAAAGCGTCACGAAGCGTCTTCTTCTTGGTCGCAGGGATGGATCGAAAGACCGCCAGGGAGACAGCATCTAGCAGTGTGGGCAGCGCCTCCAGTGCCTCCGCCTCCGTCCATCGTACGGATTGAAAGGCTGACTCCATCCGCCACGTGAACACACTCCAATCGCCCCCGGCGACAAATTCCTTGATTTGAGGAAGGCGATGTCCGCGGTGAATGTTCGACGCCTCGAGCGTCTCCATTCTCGCTTCCCGCGTATTTCGCGGCTCCGTCAAGATGGCGTCCGGCGGCCGTGTGGTAGCAACCCCGCCCAAGATGGCGTCCGGCGGCTTCATCGCAGCAGCCCCGCCCAAGATGGCGTCTGGCGGCCGATTGGTAGCAGGCCCTCCCAAGATGGCGTCCGGCGGCTTCATCGCAGCAACCCGCCCAAGATGGAGGCCTCTCCCTGCGCGGCAGGAACAATGGCAGACGTCGATTCCCGCTGAAAATCCTGGTCATCGGCACTTGGTTGAAATCCACGCGGCCGCACGAGGGCCGCTGAGGATGCGACCGCCGTCACCAGATTCAGCAAAATTGCACGGAGCGAATCAATTTGCTCCGCCAGTCGCCGCCATCCCTCGTCCGCAGTCGAGGACGTCGCTTCTCCAGCCTGTCGGCGATGAGCGGCGGCGGGGAGAGCAGCAGCCGGAGGCAGAGGACCCGCAGCTCCCAGCAGCTCATCCTCAACTTCTTCCTCCGCCGGAGGGTCCGGTGGGTTCTTCTTCTTGAGGTGCTTGGGCATCTTAAAGGATCGTCCAAACGGTCTCAAGAGATACTTCTGACACCAATGTAATAAAGCTCGTTGAGGCGACTTCTGGAATCCGGTCTTTTATTCAACTTTGCATTACAGCTTTCCTTCACGCTGCCTGTCAGCAGCGTGAGAGGGACAGATAGAGAGACACACTGCCACGTGGCAACCCAGAGCCCCGCTCCCGTGTGGCCCCCTTCCTCTGTTCGTTCCCGTTCTGACCACGTGTCGTACGTCTCCACCCCTATTTAATACCCGGGTCACGTGGTACGTTTCCACCAATCCTGGTTAGCCTCCATGGAATATTCCAGAGGCTCCCGGGACCACGCCCCTGACTCGTCTCCCCATTGGCTGTGGCTAAAGCCAGCAGAACCAATCCACTACAACCAGCTGTCACCTTTCCATTACGTCAGGGCCATGCCCCTAGGCTTCCCCCCATTGGCTATGAACCAGGACCGGCAGAGCCAATCGTCGTGACGAGTTGTAATCCGTCAACGACCCGGATATAACCTCACATTACACTCGTACACACACAAAACAGCGACCTAAGGAATTGCAGTCAAGGAAAGAATACAATTTTGCAATCCAAAGCAATAATTACATTTCTTGGCTTATATTCTTGTTTATATTGTTTAACCAGGTGAGAACTCAAGATACCACAGTTAAATTTAAAAAGACTCGTACCGCAGGGAATTAAATATAAATCAAAGCTAAATCAACCACGTTACAGAAGAAAATGCCACACAAACGTAAACAATATAAAAATAAAAAATTGACTACCGAATTATGGCTCTAACAAATTCATATTAAAAATAAATAACAGAAACATGACAGCAGATTTAGGGTGATTATTGCACTGAGTCTGTAACTAAACTAATGCCAGATTTTGTTTCTCTTTCCCACCGTATGTATGTGGTCTGCTAACCCTCAACACAGATGTGCAAGGTATGTAAAGGTGGCAGACTCTTTACATTGAAAAACATTCTGCACATTTTTTCATATGAAATCTGCAATCTAGCTGCTCAATTGTTGGTAGGCTATTTTAATACACACAGTGGACAGGAAGGACAAGATCAAAGCGCTCGCATAATACACATGCATAATGTACGTTGACTCATTAATTTCCCCTCCCCCCCACTTTGCGCAAGAGCGCAGAAGTGTGGTCACCACATCTACGCCTCTGTATAAGGAACGAAACAGTTAGACTTCTCCACAAATCTGGCTGTCGCCTGATGAAGCTAGTTGTAATTACTGGCAAAACGTCATAATCAGATTGTAAATGTTGTGGCTTGGCTCTCCAACATACTGGTGTGCTGTACGAATGACGAATTGGCACGTTCTGTTTACGTGGCAACCCTCACGAGTTGGCTGTGTCGGGTGGTGGCGGCTTTTAACGACACATTTATATATTTACACGATCTAACCCAAAAAACCTCTATTATGGATATTGGTCGCGAAAGCCTACGTGTTAAACTGCTTAATTGTGTGTGTATATTAAAGATACTGCTGGCAGTTCACCAATATTGGTTCAAGCAAGCCTGACAATTCTAATGAGAAACTCAATATAAAATCCGGTCCAGAATTTGCATGTATTCAACCAATGCTGTAGAAAACACGCATTCCCAGAGGGCCGTGTGGCTGATGAGATGTGTAAACATATACTTTTACAACAACGCTCAAGATAATTTTAAGTAATAAATTACTGTAGTGTAAAAACAAGGTGTGTAGTTTTGCCACGTGTCAGTGACCGTCCGCTCTCTGCTTTCATCAGCTGAAGTTCAGGGGGAGGTTGAACGAATCTTTGAGCTAGCTCGCACCCTGCAGCTCGTGGTGCTGGATGCTGACACTATCAATCATCCGGCTCAGCTCGCACACTCCAGCCTCACACCCATGCTGGCCTACGTCAAAATATCCTCTCCCAAGGTAATGTGCTGTCTCCAATACCTCTCTCCCTATGCTGCAAAGTACCACAATAGTACCACCAGATATCGGTAGAAATAAATTCCTGCCACCCGAACGTGGTCGCCCATTGCTCGCTGGAGTCGCTTCGTTGTGTTCATGATGTCAGGTGCTGCACAGGCTCATCAAGTCACGGGGAAAGACCCAGAGCAAGTACCTCAACATGCAGATGGTTGCTGCAGAGAAACTCGCACAGTGTCCTTCGGTGTGTACGACACGTCACGTCACACACACACACACAACACTGCACACATGACCAACTCAGCACAGCTGTTTTCTATCACATCTACAACACTCACCTGTCACGTTCTATTCTGGACAACTGTTCTGCTTATCCTGACTTTCCACGAAATTCCCAGCATCCACTTCTGGCACCTGTCCTCAAATGGCAGCAATTTTGAACATCAATACAATTCAACAGAAAATAATTCATAAATGTGTTGATGCACAGTGACAGTTTAAACAAATTCTTTGGGTCTTTCGGTAAAGTCACGTAGATAGGTTCAAAGAAAATAACAAAAAACTACATTTCGATCGCAACACAAGCGGTCGTCATCGCAACACAAACGGTCATCATCGTCCTGATGACGACTGCTTGTGTTGCGATCGAAACGTCGTAGTTTTTTGTTATTTTCTTTTAACCTATCTACGTAACTTTACCGAAAGACCCATAGATTATTAATTCCTGCAGTCACGAAAGCTTTAAGTCAAAAGTTTAAACAACTTTATTTTTAACCTTCAGTAAGGATATAATTTTAAAATCAGATAAGTTAGTGGAACAAAATCTTAAAATAGAGCGATGATGAAATAGGTTTGGGGACATATTGATGTGACAAGATACTCCTTTCTCCGTTTGATGGCTAGGACCTCTTTGACTTAATTCTGGATGAGAACCAGTTGGATGAGGCTTGCGAGCACTTGGCTGATTTTTTGGAGATGTACTGGCGGGCTGCACACCCCGCTTGCGGTAGCGGCACCCCTGCTGCCGTTGTGGCTACACCAGTCTCAATGCCACCTCCGTCTCACCCCGAGCTCTCTGTGGTAAGCATGTATGCAAGTTACTGTCTGCATTAACATAATTATAATCTCGTGGCTTTCCATGCATATTCAAAGTGATTTCCAGCTCAATGAGCATTGCTTTCAGCCCTGAGCCAGTGGTGGAAATTCTCCATGGAGGGGTGACGAGTTGCCGTGGGGTAATGGCTAGAGGCACACTGGACGGTTCGACGCCTACTCCCGGCGCAGTAGTTGACTGTGGTGCAGGTTTTTTAATCCCCCCTCCGCCGCCCCTGTTCACCCAGCAGTACAAATTGGTACTCCGCAGTTAGCCCATTATCGGCAATCCGCGTGTGGCGAGGTTAAGTGTGGGTACACCCACCTATTCCAAAGATGTCTGGCCAGCATGGACGAGTAGACCAAATACCCTCTAGAACTCACGCCAGTGGAGACCTTTCTGCCAGCAATGGCGTGAGCCGGCGATTGCAGGGCTGCACCTTTAACTGGAAAACAAGGACAAATGCACCATGTGGTGACTTCGACGCCATGCGGTTTGTACGCTCCCACGTGCCACTCAGTGAATCTATGATTCACTTTTAACTGAAATCAATTAGTGGCTCCTAACATTTAAAACTGGTAATGGACTCTGATAACAGTGACTGATTAACAACCCTACGTTTCCAGCGTCACTGAAACAAATGTTAAATGTCACAGGCTCCATATCCTCCGAACCAGCATGAACAGCAAACAAGCAGGGAGCACACATCGACACCGCCGAGCCCCCGGCGACACGCCAACCACTACCACAAGATGACGGAGCGAGGGGGTCACGGCGAGGAGACCTGCGAGCCAGTGCATGCCTCGAAAATTGTAAAGGGCATGCGGTACATAAGAAGAGTTCACAGAACTCGTGTGAAGAACGGCCAAAGCACGGCCACGCTAAGGTGGGCAGCGGCAGAGAAGAGAGAACGGGAGACCAGGGGAGTCAACAAAGGGACGATCACCGCCGACAAAGAAAACACCAATCGCACGAGCACCGTGACCATTGAAACGTACACAGCCACGCACAACAGCCAGGCCACTTACTGACTGCCTCTCACCTCTCATAGGGACCAAAACCCTCAAAAGCTGAGTCACTCCACAACATTAAAGTGCACTGTAGCCAGGACAAAACATTGACACGGTTGTCGCTAGGCCTCTGTTCGTGTCAAAAACAATTGGAATCCATCACTTAAAAAGTATCCTGGAATATTCTGTCGTCTGAGTCACAATTTGATGCTGAGCTGTCGATTCTGTGCGATAACTTCACTTGCACTTGTATTTGACAAAGGTCCCTCTTTGTTTACACACTGGTGCAAGTTACTATAATCACATTTAAATGTTTCTGTAACTTAACTTTGCTATGGTTTTTTAAATCAAATTGTCCGAGCCGAGTTTCGTTACAGGAAATATAGTATTTAATATTTGTGTGCACTATTTTCAACTTAATCAGTAATGTGGTTGTCTTTGATCTGATTTCTAATTGCTTCATTGCAGTATTGTACTTTGTTTTTATGTTATTGGTTGTCATTTTGGTGACCCAGGTATTTCTTACAAATACGACTCTAATTGTATCTTGAGCTCTTACCTGGTTAATCAAAATAAAACTTGAAACCGGACAGTTATGAGCAAGAACATGTATCTCAAGCAAATGAACAAGGGGAGTCTCTCATGAACTGTCCTTGCCGCAGGTTTACAGATCTGCAGACGTTTCTCAATGGATGCAGATTTGTAAGACTGGTAAGTGTTATGCTACTTATCTAACAGTTTCCCTTGCGGTTCAAGCAAGCCTCACTCTGCTGATGAGACTGGCCCAGTTTGCTTGTGTTAAATCAATGCTGCTGAATTATGCACTCCCAGAGGGAAGGTCGTGTCACCAATTGGATGTGTAAAAAGTACGTTTTGTGTGGAGGGATAGATATGTTACTTGTGCTACAACTGCTGGTCCTACATGGATCATACTCCCTTTGTGTGATGTGGGTATAACATGTCCCAACTTCCAACATCAGTGTCTGTAGGGAAATGCATAATGAAAGTGGTGGACCAACACCAACCTGTTTAGATAGAGATACGTTTGAGTCATGTCAGCAGAAAGAGCCCAATGAGCTGCCAGGCTTATTTCATGGGCGTCCTGCTCATGAAACATGAGAAAAAAGTTTTGCTGACTGGCTGGCTGGCAGGACATCATGTCCAATGTGACGGACAGTCAGGTCCATAGAATCTGCAGGTTGCAAGTGTACGTATGAAAATAAAGATGTTCAGTATTAATCTCACACCACTTATTATGGAATTGCATTTAAATGTTCTTTATTGAAAAAAAGAAATGTACAGACCAGTGTTTCTGCAAGTTAAAAAGTGAAAGTGATTTTTCATTCAAAGCGACAGTGCTCATCTCTTGTTTACAGCCCTGAGCCAGTGGTGGAAATTACACATTCCTAAAGCAAAGGTGAGTCTATCAATAGGATTACCACTGTTGACTTTCCTAAAAAGTGGTAACCATTTTACCGACCTCAGTTGGATGATGGGCTGAATAAACCCCCAACCAGGAATTGAATTCGCAACGTTCTGATTGCGAGCCACCCGCTATATACTGCTGATTTACCGGGTCAGTCAGTATCCTGCGTTTGGCAAAATAACAGTTACATATTTTTGTGAATGTCAGGGAAGAAGACTAAAAAAGCCTCCTAAATTATATTAACGACTGTGGGGAAACAGGCAGTTTGGTAAACTTTGCCATGAAGAAGCCAATTGTGTCGGTGATGGCACGGTCAAGATTAGGGGGGGCCCGGAGAGTGGTTGAGACCCCACAGACTCCATCCTCCATTTCACTGCCAGGGTCAAAACGTTGCAGCAGGCGCAGATGCTGAGGGTCCAGACCAGCTCCTGGCAGACCCTGACCACCCAGGTGAGGCTCCTGGAAGGAACCAAATGTAAACAGAGCTCAGAAGACTCCTATACACTTCAATATGGCCATCGTACACTTCACAGCCCCTTGACATCCAAGTTTAGCTGTTCACGCAGAATCCAGCTGTATGTCAGAAGAAGACAAAGGATTCCATGCAAACTACCTGAGCGACGAGGTGCAGCTGAGGAAAGGTCCTCAATGCCCAGGCAACCTGACGTTCATTTTCAGCAGACGCCACGGAGCATGTGGTGTAGAGAAGGACCCCTCCTGGCCGCAGTAACGCCACTGCCTGAGAGACCGACGCAATAACAGTCGACAATGTGCTGACATTTTTTAAAATACAATTTCTCTGCACAGAAAGGGCCAAAATGTGAAACGGTCAGCAACAAACAGTATTATCAAAATGTAATAAATAAAGGTTAACGGGTTTTTTGGGAAAATAGACAATAGGAGGAAATTCTGAAGTGGACCAGTGCGTAGTGTCATGACCTGCAGTGTCGTAATTCAGTGGGTGAGTGAATTGGTGAGTGATTAATTGAATGGGCGTGTTGATGTGTAGTGTGGTAGCTGAACAGAGTGTGGATGAGACGAAACATTCAGTCTCGAAGACAGAGTTCTCAACATGGGTGGTTTGCACATCTCGAGCAGCTGCAACAATTACCGTGGCCAGGAGTTTGCGCTGGAGGGGAGCATACGACTGCAGCTGACGCAGGGAGGCAGAGATGCCTAGGCAGGGCCGCTTCCCCAGCGCACTGCATGGAGCATCTAGCAGCACCCTGTCGAAATACTCCTCGGGGAACGGTGGGTGACCTACCCACCACAGCAAGCACATTATGTTTTTATGTAGCGTCACTCATGCAAATCACATCTCAAAATGCTGCTGCAGGATTTGTAACATGCAGATTTCGCACAGAAGTGTGGGAAACCAGATGAGAGGAAGGTTACCAGGACCGGCTGTCGGCAATTGCCCAAGCTCTGTGTTTTATACAAGTGGGAGGAAGCAGGAACAACCGGAGAAAACCCATGCATGCAATGGGCGGTGAAAATCCCCGTACGGATGGAAATTATCCACTTGCTATGCTTGCATAGCAAAACAGACGGCAACTTAGAAGCCCACAGGGCAGGACACGTTGTCGGAAGGGACGGTGGTCAATAATAATAATAACGGATTGGCAGCCAAGGAATGGAACGTATCCGAATGGATATCCGCTGAGGAGCTAGAGCATTGGGCTCGGTTCACGTGCAGGTGCTTGGAAGGATTGTTGCATGACAAGACCATGAGGTGCTGGTGGATTTATCATGGTAAGATGTCAGTCAGATGACAGTTCATTTGCACGTTTTGCCAAGCTGTGTACCTTTGCAGGTGTGTGGTCCAGAGGCGATGGCCTGTGTGCTATCACAACAAAATGTCTGGATAGATTTAAGATTCAGCCGCGATGCATTGTTCTGAATTTTCTGTACTTTGGCAGCTGTCTTGTCCAATGCAATTATCTCTCCCTGCGTTACACACGCACACACACACGTTTACATTATAATTTTCCTTCCTTGTTCCTTACACAGTTGTGGAGCAAAGCCCCAAAATGCCAAGTGGCCAGCAACAAACAACATTATTGTGTGTCTGTCTTTGTGTCTCCGTGTCTTGTCTCTCTCTCAAATTTCACACTTAACTTCTAATTTAGCAATCTTTGGAAGAACGTAATCAACAGGCTATGCGTTAATTGTGTGTTGACCGACTCTCTGTGTTGCATTGCATTGCATTTCCAAATTTGACTAAGTTTGTTTGATTAAGTGTGTTTTCTCTCTCTCTCTCTGTGTCCTCGTGTTGTCGCTCTAGTATTTCCTGCAGTCATGAAAGCTCCAAATCTCTCATTGACATGCTAATTTCTCCACCCCCCTCCCCTCTCTCTCTGCCACCCTCTCTCTCTATTTAAGGCCTCGACACAGAGGCGTTGTTTCTCTGTGTGCCTATGTGTGTGTCTCTCTCTGTGTGTCTCTGTTTTATCTCTCTCTGCTTATGTGTCTGTCTATGTGTCTCCGTGTCTGTGTGTTGTCTCTCTCTCAAATTTAGCAATCTTTGGAAGAACGTAATCAACCAGGTAGGGTGTTGACTGTTATATTAGCCAACTCTGTGTGTTGTATTGCATTATATTTCGAAGTTTACTAGGTTTGTTCTCTCATACATTCGTACCTGATGATGATGATTGCTTGTGTTGGAATCGAAACGTCATATGCCATTTAATTTATTTTTCTTTCTACGTGACTTTACCAAAAAAACCAAAGAACATTATTTATTTATACACTTCCAATTATATTATTCAACTCCCGTACCTCCGATAAGCACAGTTGGCTACGTACGGTGTAAAAGAAGTTGTATAGTGCTTTAAGATCCTCGATGAAAGGCGCGATATAAATGTAATTGATGTAAAGAGAACTCCAAAGCTGAGCTGTGTGAGGGAAGAATCACAAAGAGAAGTGTTGTTCAATAGTGGATGAATTTTGATTTAAAGCTTTCGTGACTGCAAGAATTCATATTCTTGGTTCTTTCGGTAAAGTCACGTAGAAGGGAAACAATAATAATATTTTTTATTATTTTATTGTTTCCCTTCTACGTGACTTTACCGAACGAACCAAGAATATAGTAGTGGATGAGACAAAAGTCAGGCTGGTTGACCTAATCAAGATGAGTGAAAGAATTCATGAAGTTCCCAGGAATGGTAACCATGGTAGAAGCAATAGATGAGCGATAAGGTGGCAATTGGTCACCAGTGGGCGAGCAACTTGAATGAATCAGGGAGTGCTGGATTATCAACCAGCCTGTGACTGCTTTATGTTGAATTCTATCAAGTGTATAGGGATAGAAACACAAGCTCAGTGAGGGAGGAACCAAATGAAAAGGATAATAATGATCCCCATAATAAATAGGAGACAAGACATTACCGTGTCTCCCATGAGTGTGGCGATATGCGTGGTTTTCCCTCCTGGTGCGGCACACATGTCTAGAACCCTGAGCCCAGGGCGAACGTCCAACACGTGACCAGCCAGCACGCATGGCAGATTCTAGCAGAGGGAAAACATTCACAGCACATACCGATCAGTAGGATTGTTAACAACTAAACCGGTCAACATTTCATAATCGAATTACCAGCTCCGCGAGTCAGGAAACCGGCAATTGATTCCAGTGTCATTATAGTAATCACTGTACCAATTGGCAAACACGGCCGTATAAACGGGCCGCGTGGTACATTTGCCTGATGAAGACCGCTTGTGTTGTGATCGAAACGTCGTGGGTTTTTTACTTTTATTATTTTCATTTTATTTTATTTTTATTGTGGGTTTTTTGTATTTATTATTTAAAAAGAACCAAGAATATGAATTGCTGCAGTCACGAAAGTTTTAAGTAAAAATGTTTATATTATGGTTGTTACTAGACATTTTTGCGGTTACCAGAAAAGTAAAAAAAATAATGATTTAAACGATTCTAATACTATTCCACAGAATGGCAATACCCTCATGAAGTAACGAGTGTATGTGTGTGTGTGAACATATTTACCTGTGGGAAGAAGATGCTGGGTGGGAGGTTTTCGAAGGATGGGCTAAAGTACAGCGGTTCCGTCATGCTCACCCCAATCCCACTGCACACACAGATTCACACTCATTGCTGCATCCATGGGGTGGTGACAGCGGTAGCGCGTTCCAAGCTTGATGCAGAGAGGTCCACAATTTGAGTGTGGAAGGCAGCCCTAGTTAACACAGCGGTGTGTACTAACCACAAATACCACGTGCTGACTGCTTAACAGTGGACATTAAAAATCCTGTGACGTCACAAGTGGGCCATTGTGTGCCGGCGTCATGGTTGAAATTTGCCAAATTTAATTAATTATTCACAAATTACTCAATTGGCATTACACAACAATCATGGCCCCCTACAGGTAGACTAATGCCTACTTACAGACCGGTGGTGCACAGGGAGAGCTGGTCTGGCCAAAATGAATGACTTATTAATAACATCAAGTTGCACCAACTAGATTGGAGATATCCATTAAAAAGAACGATGCAGACAGAATCAACACTAGAGGTGTACAAAGCAATTCCCAGTATAGGTTTGAAACCGATGTCTCAATAGCCAGAAACAAACAGCACTATCATGGCAGTGGTTAGCCCAAAGAACCTGACTTCTCCCGTAAATTTCACAGCCACAACTACCAGACTATCTCGTCTCATCCACTATGTTCAACAACTGCAATACAGGTCACAACACTTCCCTGCTTCTTCCCTCGCACGGCTCCACTTTACAATTCCCTCCCATCGTCTCTTCTTCATAATAACGCTGTTCAACTCATAACACGTGTTAACTCTTTATCTACAGGCAATGGCAATCGTGACGTTTG